CCTGGGACCCTTCAGTCCACAGCCGACACTCTATCCACTGAGCCAAACTGGCTAGGGCAAGCTTAAATAATGTACCAATCAGGCCAACCTGTGATTGTCATTAGAGGAAAGAAAGCATCATCATGCCCAGGGTAGCAGTCTGGATTTTCACTATCATTTTATATCACCCCCACCTGCCACCCCCCTTTTTATCATTACCTAGGAAGTGGCCAGGAGGAGATGATCTCTTTCTGGAGACAGCCACATTTAATGACCAAAATACCTAGTATTAAAGTGTATGAACTAGGAGCAGGTGAGGGATATATAGAGAGAGAGTCTCTTGAGATGACTGTAGATGGTAGCACAAGAAGTCCTGAGAACCTTGGCCATTAGCCCATTGTTAAAGTGGCTTTTGCAATAAAAAGTACATTTGTCAGGCTGCAAATGTTCCAGAAAGCCAGAAACATGACAGATTAGTTTTAAGGGACACAAGAGTATGGCTAGAGTCAGTTGATTGGACTAGACCAGTAATACCAAAGGTGACAAAGTGTCAACAATGGTGAGGCACCACAATAACCCTGAGATGGGCAAAAGTCCAATGTAATCAATATGCCAGCAGTGGGCAGGGGCCACACTTGTGCAGTGTGGCCTCATTCCCTGTGAGACAAATGTGTCATCTTTTGTCAGGAGTCCAAGTTGCAATCAGTGTTAACCTTTGCATCAGAAACACAGATTCCTTACTCTGCCCACTCCATGATGATGACACACGGTGTAGACCATGCCCAGTACAATGATGGACAGAAGCAGCAATGGTGGCAATCAGGGCAGCACAAAGCTGTCAGCAACTTGACTCCAGTCATTCTCCACGGAATAGCCCCTACCATGGACATCTACATGAGAGACCCAAGTGTTTGGGTCAGCAATTGTGATTTGTTTATACACTTCATGTCCCCAAAGAGGATGTGTTTCAATCTGCCAGTCTGTAGTTTCCCAAGTGCAGAACGAAGAGCTAGGCCGTTGGCAACAGCCCAAGAGTTAGTACAAACATAACAAAGTTCATCAAGAGGACTATTGGCCAGAAATGAGAGTGGCCTTTAATTCTGCACAAAGTATAGTGACCATGTCCACTGTTGGTTCTACATATTAACTCCGAAGTTGAATAGCCACAACAGATCTGATAGGTTTCAGTGTAGCTAAACCATCAGTGAATCAGGCCCAGGCATTTAGGGGAAATCTTGAGTTGAGAGCCCCATTGAGTCAGCAGCTTTACTTCACACATAAAGTCAGAGGGAAGAGAAGGCAGTGATAAAGTTTCTCCAGGGGATAGCTGCCACTTTTCCTTTAAAGCCAAGATACCCTGGGCCAGAACAGCAGCATTCTTGAATATATCACTTCCATTTGCTGAACACGGCTTATTTAGCCCTTCCCACCTTGGTAGTCATTCAGTCCAAGTTGACTCACCCCCAAATGGCAGTATTAGGCGGAGTCACACGGCCCTTATCAGTCAGGCATTCAGTTTCAACAAGAGCTCAAAAGCAAAGCTAATAATCAGCTGCTTTTTTTTTTTTTTAGAAATGAAATATTTGGGAAATAGGCTTGCTTTCCCCCCCCCTTTTTATTTATTTATGAGAGAGAAAGAAACATCCATTTGCTGTCCCACTTATTTATGCATTCATTGGTTGATTCTCTTATGTGCCCCGACTGGAGATCCAACCCTCATTCTTGGCATATTGGGACAATGCTCTAACCAACTGAGCTACCCCGCCATGGCAACTAATAGCTGCTTTTCAAATGGGGTGTATGTGTAGCTGTGTTAGGGAGGCTTTGAGTTCGAAACCCAAAGGGGAACCTCAGGATGGAGGCTGCCTCCTCTTACCAGAGACACCAATTGGCAAAATTATCATTCCTGTAGATTTCTAGCTCAAACTGTGGAGCCTCAAAGTCACTAGCACTTCTCTGCTTGCAACTTTTCTCAATCAAGAGAATGACCTCTGGCATTTAAGGAATGAGGAAACAGAGGTACACATCAATTCCTACTATACATTCAGACCTAAAACAATGATTGAATTGGCCTGGAGGACCCCACCCAGGTCACATTAGCATTCCTTCTCCAGGTGAATCCTGCCTAAGCCCTATTGGCTGCATTCTCTAGATGCCAGCTCCCCCAAGGGGCTGAGAGAATGGTGATGAGCTCCTATATCCAGCAGAGCCATATAAGTTTGAGTTCCTCTCCACCCCGAAGTTCCCCCAAATACTTGCCAAGCAAACAGACCTTTGGTCCCCCTTGGTGACAGGAAAACTTGGCCCCTCTCCTAATCATCTTTGCCTTAAAGTAGCTGAAGTTGGGGTAGAGGAGGAGGGGAGGGATCAAGCAGCAGGAAGGAGAATGTGTGCCAGAAGCAAAGTGCAATGACTTTGTTTTAAGCACTGCAGTGGCTGACTGCAGCTTCATCAAACAAACTTCCAATGTTCCCAGCCCATCCAAAGTGCTATATTAGGTAGCAAAGTTCTAATTCTGCCCAGAGTGCAGTGACCATGTAACTGTGGCAGCCACAGCCACATTTTCCAGCTGTGGCTGGAGTTTGTCCTTTGGCTGATGACCTTCTTTGAGGAGATGACCTTCACATGGGCATGTGCTGCCCCCTTATCAAAATAACATCTCTTAAATTCAACGTAAGTGGTAGGGGGAGTTTTCCATGAAGGCAGGGCTCATTGCAAGAAGTTATCTAGATTTCTTTGGGTCTGTTTTTCAATCTTCAGTGGGTTACCAAATTAGCATTGTTAAACCCAACCTGGGGCAATAAGAGCCTTAATACCAATCTAAATTCCTCATTTATGGTTTCTGCAGGAATTAGTCTGCCTCAGAAAAATCCCTCTAAGTCTTAGGACCAAAGCTCCTTACAGCAGTTTACACTGTAAAAAAAACAAAAACTCTTGAGACCTTTTATGATCATCTCGGGATGGATCTAAGATTAGCGTGATAGACTGAGGGAAGAGCTGAGCTGAAGGACAGCCTAGCTGTTGCCATTATTAACAACTAGGGGCCTGGAGTGCGAAATTCATGCACTGGGGGGGGGGGGGGTCCCTCAGCCCAGCCTGCCCCCTCTCACATACTGGGAGCCCTCAGGGGATGTCCTAGTGACGGCTTGGGCCCGCTCCCTGCTCCCCTTGGGGATAGGGCCTAAGCCGCAGTCTGGCCTCCCTTTGTGGGAGGTGACCGAGCTGATCAGGGGAAGGCACCAGCCCCATCACCCTGCTGCTGCAGCCACTGCCAGTCACCGCAGCCAGCAAGGTTTTTCCATCAACACGGACTCCAGTCCCTTCACCATGAAAAAATGACAACTTTCTTTAGGCATTTTCAAGATGTGTCTTTCATATAATAATAATTTCTTTATTACTTTTTTATCCTCACCTGAGGATATGTTTCCATTGATTTTTAGAGAATGTGGAAGAGAAAGGGGAAGACAGAGAGAAACATCAAAGTGAGAGGAACACTTTGATTGGTTGCCTCCTGCATGAGCCCTGACCTGGGCCCCGGCCAGGGAGGAGCCTGCAACCTAGGTACACGCCCCTGGTCAGAATTGAACCCAGACCCTGCCATCAGCAGGCCAAGGCATTATCCACTGAGCCAAACTGGCTAGGGCAGGATATGACATTTCTTAGCCCTCCAGCAGCGGACCTTCATTTTTTTCACCAGGAGTGTGGTGAAAAACCCCAGATCACCTTTTTGGATTCTTATTACCCAAGTTACTAAGAATATTACCAGTGGCATACAGGGAGCTTAGCCAATGAGCGGTCAGAAAAGGTGTTTCCTCTGTAGTTCACACCAATTGCCAGCTTGGCCCCCCCAAGCCCAGGCCTGACACCTCTGGCCCAGGCTTCAGACCTGGGCAGGAGACCCCCATATCCCCCCGATCAGCGGCTCCGCCCTCGCCCAGGCCTGACGCCTCAGCCAGAGGCGTCTACCCCCATCACCCTTCGATCGCCGGATTGGCCCTCGCCCAGGCCTGATCCCTCGGCCAGAGGCATCAGTCCTGGGCAGGGGACCCCCCAGACGCCTCCGATTGCCAGCTCCGCCCCCCGCCCAGGCCTGACACCTCCATCACCCTCCGATCGCCGGTTCGGCCCCTTGCCCAGGCCTGACGTCTCCGCCAGAGTTGTCAGGCTTGGGCAGGGGATCCCATCTCCCCCCGATCACTGGCTTCTGGACAGCTTCTGGGGTCACACATGGGGGCCTGGGTGGCGGCTCTCGCGCTGTCCCGCCCTGCCTGCAGTATGCAAATTAGCCACCATCTTTGTTGGCGGTTAATTTGCATATCGTGCTGATTAGCCAATGGGTGGTGTAGCGAAAGTATGGTCAATTACCATGTTTGTCTATTATTAGATAGGATGCTTACATGCTCACTCCTTCATCTCCCAAGCCTTCCAGGCAAGGTTCTAAAAATCTGCCTGGTTTCTGCCCATAGCAGTTGGGAATTTCCCTTTCATATTTAATGTAATGCATGTTTCTGTCACTATTGTCTGACAGAGGGCAAAACTTAGTATTAGTTGTTACTTTGGCATGAACCTGAGGATGATCTAGTAACAGCCTCTACTTGCCCTTCTTGCAAGCTAAGTTAACTTGGACACATTTTGTGGATGTGGACAGAGAAGACACAAGTCTCCTAGGTCAAGGACAAAGGACTGTTACTTACATCAATAGAAGAGTGTCAGCATTGTCAGGTACCATTTCCCCAAGGCCCAGTTCCCAAAAAGCAATGCCAAGAGGACCAGTATCATCTGTATATGTAGTGAGCTCTGTTATAAGAAAGGAGTCCTGAGCTTAGGGAACCCCAATCTTTTATAGTAGGCAGTAAACCTATTATATCAACCATTTTTCACTCATCTTGTATGTCCCATAGGTTTAGCATGCAGAAAGTGCTGAGTAATATTCACTGAACTTGACAATCCAACTAACTGGTTGTGCTATAAGCAAAAATAATATGTTCACATTGTTTCTGAAACTTAAAACATCAAACATATTAATGGAAGAGTAAATTAATTTTATTGACTGATGAAAAACTAAAGTGATAAGAAGTATGGATAGTAAACAATAATCATTGTGTTCTGCTGGAATTCTGTTTTTCTTCTTTTCACTTTAAGCCAAAAGGACAAAAAATTATAGACTGTTAGTAAGCTAACTGTTTTACATATTTCTTCAACAAAAACTGCATAGCTTAGCAGTTGCACAGCATTAAATATATACATTTTTGCAAAACCCTGAAAGTTTTAATTTTTGTGTTGACCTCAAAGGCTAATGGAATCACCTACACTGGTCGAATTCAGAGTTTCTTTTCCCTTTTCTGCCACCCTGTAAAGAAAAATAGGGCAAATTATTTAGAAAATACCATTTTGGGGCCATTTTCATCTTAAGACTATATGAAACCAAAGGCATTTTGAGTATGAGAAGGAAGCATTTTTTGAGTTTGTTGCATATTTGAATATACTAATAAATTATTTTATAGTTATTTTTACAAATGGTTAAAGTAGTTGTAGAAAAGTTACCCCTCTTTGAACTAGTCTAGATTTAGTAAGTTCACCAATTATGTTACTTTTTTTAGTGCTCTTTTAGACTGTCCCAGCTTTTTTTTTTTAAATAAAAATTTTAATCAATACTAACACAATTTATTCCATATGATCCCTTTTGGGTAATTCAATTTCTAATGCAAGTTTTGTCTAGTCTTCTTACCAGACAACAGCATTAGAAGTATGATTTTGTTCATCACTGGTTTGAAAAGTAGATTATACTTTTCATATTGCTCAGTGACATATATATACATCTGTATTTAATCTGCTCCAATTTGACTAGGGCCAAGAAAAGAGAAAGGCAGCTTAAAAGACAAGAAGTATTTTACACGAATTAACATAACATTTTCTGCTTTATTAAAAGTAAATACTAATTGTAGAAATATGGAAAGTACAAAGGTACAAAGAAGAAAATTAAAATCACCCATAACTACTCTACCTATTCCTCTTCATTTTAACCACAAATAATGATTTGATGTATCTGCCTTACAACAATTTTATAATTTTTTTCTCTCCATCTTTTATAAACTATGGCAGTGTATCCAAGTTAATTGATTAGAATCACGTGAGTAGTAATATTTTTCAAATTCTGTTGTCTAAACTTTGTCCCAGACCTATTTATTCACTATTACCAGGACTGGGCCAAACTATCTGTAATTCAAAAAGCCCTCAAGTGATTCTAATGATCAGCTAAGTCTGGGAACTACCTGTCTGTGAAAAGTGCATTTCTTAAAATGGTGATTATGTTAGGGGCACATGAAACCCAGGCCCATTTAATAATGGTGGCAGCTTCTCTGTATTTTTCTCATCTCTTCACTGCCTATAACTTTTCTCTTGGTGATCAAAAACATTTCTATATCAACCTTCATTTTTTTTAAAAAAAATCAAGTGTAAAAATGCTGTTATTCATTCCTGACCAAATAAAAGTTTTTCAGAGAAAATAAGTATAAAGAGATTATCTGGGACCTGAAATGTGTAATCTCATCTTAAAAACAAAATTTATTTCTTGATAGCAGAAAAGTAAAAATAAATTTTTCAAAAGTGTTTCTATAAAGTAGATCCCAACTACACATAGGTATCAACGTTATATAGCTTAAAACTCTTACCTTGCTTCTCAACAAGGTTTCTTTTTGTTGTTGTTGTTAAATATTTTTAAAAATATATTTTTATTGATTTTTTTACAGAGAGGAAGGGAGAGGGATAGAGAGTTAGAAACATCGATGAGAGAGAAACATTGATCAGCTGCCTCCTGTACACCCCCCACTGGGGATGTGCCCGCAACCAAGGTACATGCCCTTGACCGGAATCGAACCTGGGACCTTTCAGTCCGCAGGCCGACGCTCTATCCGCTGAGCCAAACCGGTCAGGGCCAGATTTCTTTTTAAACACACAAAATATTTGAGAATCATTTTCAAAACCTCCCAGGCAAATTCTCATTCCCAGACTGATAAGATGTCAAAGCTGGGGCTAAATAATTTTTATGTTCTCTAGGCCATCAATGGCTTTCCTTTTTTTTTTTTTTTTTTACTATGACCTCATTAATTTTTTATATCATGACTTAGACACACATACACACATATAAATAAATATATGTGTTTATATATACATACAGATACACATATACTAAAACAAACCATTAACATTTTTTACTGCTTCACCCTAAAATGCTGAATGCCAGTTTGTGAGTGCAGAAGAAATTACAGAATTAAAAAAATCACTATTTTGCTACAAATATCAATGGATGCTAAACCATTGGGTAAAAAGGATCTCATCACACAATCTCAAAGTATCACTCCACATATAATTTATTAATTTATAAATATACCTTTACAGTAAACACATCTAAAAGATACTGCTGTACACAAATGATTAAACTTATTATATAATGGGGCAAATGTCATTATGTGCTTTCCCTCGATATAAGTCAATGGCATGTATGCTGCATCATTTATGTAGTACCAAGAATTTTTTCTGAAATACTTTAGTTATGCTGCAAATATCAATATCTAGAAAAACCTTAACATTTTCTAAAATGTAAATTATATAAAACTGTTAATATTTCTGGTGAATAAATTTTGGCCTAAGAAAAAAATAGTCCACTTATTCTCAAACAGTATCTATTTCAAATGTATTATTTGTGATGAAAACACTTTCAGAATTATAAAAGCATACCTGATATTTGGCTAATTCTGCTTGTAATACTTTCACTTTAGATCTTTCTTGTTCTAACGCAGCATGAAGTGAAGTCACCTATAACCAAATATTCAATTTTTTAAAAAGACATTTTTTTTTTAGGCAAATACTCTTAATTCATTTTTATTTTTAGCTTTGTGTGTATATTTTTTTTACATTCAAAATAATTTTGTATTCTTTTCAGGTGTGTAAAGCATAATGGTTAGACAATCATATACTTTACAAAGTGTTCCCCTCAATATTTCCAGTACCTGCCATCTGGCGTCAGACATATAATAACCTTAATTCTTAACACTTATTCACAATGGTAATTTTTTACTGGATAAATTGAGCATCAGAAGAGAACCCTTCCTCACCACTTCAATTTCAATTAGGCACTTTACTTAGCTATATATTAGAGATACATAGGACAAGCTCACTGTTCTAAGACCATAGATTAAGAATGGGCAGGGCAGAAAATCAAGCCCAAGGGTAGGATAAGTTCTATCTGCCCTTTCTATCTCTATATTCATAGTCCACATCAACTAAAATACAACCTTATCTTCCCCTATTCTTCAGGACATAGCTACCTCCCTTAAACAGTAAATAGAACCTTCATTCATTTGCTAATACATAGTAATAATTTATATCACTTTCTTTTTTATTCAATTTATTGGGATGACACTTTAAATAAAATTATATAGGCTTCAGGTGTACAATTCTAAATACATCACCTGTATACTGTATTGTGTGTTCACCAATTTATATCACTTTCTTGCAGTGTTGATGGGCTATATTTTTGTTTAGTCAAGTTTCACAATTCAAGACTAAAGAACAGCCTAAGAATATCAGTCTTGTATACAGTTTTCCTTACCTGTATAGTCAGTTCATTCTTGATACTTTGTGATTCATCAACTTGCAGAAGTATTTCTGCTTTATCTTTCACTGACAAAAAAAAAGGGGGGGGGGAAGAGTAGTATAATTAATTTTGTCAATCACTCCAATACTTTTACAGTACTTTAGTGACCCAAAATAGCAATGCAGTCAGGCAAAGATTAATTGTCCTCCTACTTAATGAATGTATTCCTTGATCCTATATAGTTCTTAGTTTTCATTGGGAAATTCTGATATTATCATATTCTTGGAAATTTTAAATTTTCTGTAGCGCTGAAAATTAATTGTACAGATATGATGAAAGAGTAAGTTTATCCATCTACAGTAAAGAGGACAAATACACAAGAAAATAAATTTCACATAGAGAGAAAACTTTAAACACCTTGACTAATCTTTTTTTTGACTAATCTTTAAGATTAAAAAAATATAGAACATTTCTATTTCCTTTGTTTTCTTAAATTGTCAGGGTGACCATATAGGCCCACAGAAATTATTTATATCTGACGTTTCATACCAATAAAGCACTGTCAAATAAACATAGCTCATATGATCATATCTGATCATATAACATCTGTGGTCTCTCAGAACTATTCGTTTGTCTAGAGGTTTTTTCCCTCTTTGGGGAAGTAAGAGATCTATATTTTAGCCCCTTAGTTTCCTTTAAGCATTAAAAGTCTCCACATGGCCAATAAACCCCATGATATAATGGCTACAGAATGAAAAGCTAACTCCTCAACTTTAAAAACAAGCTAAGGAAAAGAAAAACAAGAGAGGTTAAAGAGGTAAAACTATAATAAAATTTGTAAGAGAAGAAATGTTTAAGTTTTTTTGAGTACCGATATCACTACAACTCTACCAATATAATACTGTAAATCAAACTTGTTTTTCATAGTTTAATATGATATGCAATAAGGTGTGTAACATATCTAGAAACGTATCAGTCTTTCAAGAATCAACTTGGGAACTTTTATGAATTACACTTTCTACTCCTCCATCTTCATAATTAAACACACACACGCTAAGAACTAGTGACTTTTTAATAATTATGTAATACTTTAATTACAGTCTCTTCTCCTATAATGCTTGTTTCAATGACACTGATATATTAGGAACAATTTGAACACAACAGGAATTTTGTATTTGCTTAAGCTCAATTATGTGAACATAGAAAACTGTACCCATGCACACAATAAAAATATCTACCACCTATCTCAGTTCAGTTCACCGATTTTCAAGTCTTCCATAACTTAACAGTAACACCTAAGTTATAACTCTCTGAAGCCTACTTCTACAAGCAAACTAGGTTGTGTTTAAGCATTTTTAACATGTATAAAACTGTTATACTATTTTTATTAGATTCCCATCTTGTTTTAAATGTTTTAAAATACATATATTTTTTATTTCAGAGAGGCAGGGAGAGGGAGAAAGATAGGTAGAAACATCGATAAGAGAGAATCACTGATAGACTGCCTCCTGCACACCCCACACTGGGGATTGATCCCCTAACCTGGGCACATGCCCTGACCAGGAATCAAACTATGACCTCCTGGTTCATAGGTCAGCGCACAACCACTGAGTCACACTGGCTAGGCAGATTCCCATCTTTTTTTAATGTATCACTGATTAAGTTTTTGAGTGTTGTATGCTTCTAAGCCCATCTCCTCCATAGGCCTTATGGTTTTAACTGTGTGATTTTGCAAATATTGGTGAATCTAAGGAACACGTGTTGCATTATAACAGAATTGACTGTATTTACATTTATATTATAAATGACAGCGTACATATACTCTAATGTACTGTATTTTTCATGTAATGATCCTATATCAAATTCTTCTAGTTGGATTATTTACAGTATGGAGTATGGACACAAATTTTATTTACTGGTAGCCATTTTTAATCCATTATTGAGAGTAAGCTTTTATCAATTAATATTCTCACTTTTTACATTTCTTTAACCAAGAAATATTTCTTTTACATACAGTGGGGCCTTGACTTACGAGTTTAATTCGTTCCATGACGGAGCTCGTAACTCAAATTACTCCTATGTCAAATCAATTGTGAACGAGTGAGACAAGTGATGCTGGGCTGATGTTGTGGCGTTCACTGTGACGTTCGCTGCGCCAACTAGCGGTGGGGTAGTATCTGAAGCTGGCTCATAACCCGAATTTTAGCTCGCAACTCAAAGCAAAAAATAGGCTGAGGGACGGCTCTTATCTCGAAAAACTCGTTAGTCGGGACACTCGTAAGTCAAGGCCCCACTGTATTTAAAAATCATATATCCTTGCCCTAACCGGTTTGGCTCAGCGGATAGAGCGTCGGCCTGCGGACTCAAGGGTCCCAGGTTCGATTCCGGTCAAGGGCATGTACCTTGGTTGTGGGCACATCCCCAGTGGCAAGTGTGCAGGAGGCAGCTGATAGATGTTTCTCTCTCATCGATGTTTCTAACTCTCTATCCCTCTCCCTTCCTCTCTGTAAAAATCAATAAAATATATATTTTTTTAAAAATCACATATCCAATAATACCTTTAATTTATTCAATTAGAAACGTACCTTATAAACCAATTATTTATTTTCATAATTTTATGCATTAAATGAATCTTAAGATGATGGTTTCTAAATGTCCAAATAATGCCTTTCCCCATTATTCTTTAATTTCTATTTCATCATAGTTAAGTTGTACGTATAAGAGTTAAATTATAGTTATATTATAAAATAATTAAAGGGTTATCGAAAGCCTGAATCTACTTCAAGACTATATATTCTGTTCAATTGGACAAGATTTCTGGTTTTTAATCATATTGGTTTCATAACTGTTATTTAATAATATAGTTTAAATTTTGGTTGGACAATTCTACTCCCTGTATATTCATATTTAAAACAATCTTCTGGTCTTGTTCACTTATTCTTCAAGGTGAGTTTCACATTTTCTTAAGTGCTATACAATACTCTCAGGATCTATATTTGGTATTTCATTAATACTTATTAACAGGGAAAATTTATTTAGACAATTTTGTCCATTCAAAATTTTCTCATGTGTTCATGTCTTTCTCTATGTCTTTTATGGTTAATAATTTCCTTTGCATAAACTTTATATTAAAAGTTAATACACATTTTCTTTTCTGTCATGAATGGAAACTTTTCATAGAACTTTCAAGGTGTCACTAGGTAAATATAATCAGGAAAGCAACTGATTTGTGGGGATTCACATATAACATCAACCTTACTAATCTTATCTCTAGTCAGTTTTGGTTGACTTCCTTGGCTTCCTGCTTCTATTGCTGAAAGTTTAGAGTGGCAGCAAAAGTATGAAGAGTGGGGGGGTTGGGAGGGGAAGGAAAACCTAAAATGATGATAGGTCTTCTCCTCTAATAATTAAAAAGCAGAATCTTAAGCAAATGTTATTCTTGTTTTCCTGATAAATGTAGTCTAACAATTCATAAGAATTGAAATTTCAAGATTTCTCTTATGTGAATAATTGTAAATTTGTATAATACCTAAGGTGCTATAACAGTGACCTGTAATAACAAAATTATCAGCAACAATCCATTTTGTATCATTCTGGGAAACCTTTTTATTTTGTTGAGTTAATAAATCATGTATCTTAAAAAATTCTTTTTAAATCTTTTTTAAGATTAAATTTTAATTCTAAAACCACAAAAATCACTTACTTTCACCTTCCTGAAGCATTTTCAATAACTGTGCATTTCTTGCCTTTACTTCTTTATACTTTGCCTGATAAAGAAAATAAAGATTTAATTTTTAAAGTAAATGATAAATTAATGGTTTACTATCAATATATGGTCTATGAGTTCTTGAAGACATAGTTACTTTTAAAAGAAAAAGGATGAAGAAAAATGTATTCAGAACTGTCTATTACTTAAATTATATCCCTCATGATTGAAAAATAAGAGATAAAAATGGAGAAAGTAGGATAATATTAAATTTTCCTGAGGACTTTCTCTTTTCTTCTTCAAATAAAACCCTTAATATTTCAAAATAATTAGAAGAAAAATGATTCATGACTCTATACCAGGAATATCCAGTAGTATACTAGAACTTTCTGTATCTGTGTTATATCTGCCACTGTCCAATATGTGACTATTAACTACTGAAAATAGACCTAGTTTGACTTTGGAAAATACAGTTTTAACTTTATTTAAAGTTTTAATTTTATTAAATTTAGGTACACACATGTAGTGGTTACTGAATTGCACAGCACAGTTGTGTCTTCTCAGTTAAGACTAAATTTACTAATCTCTTGTTATTTCAATAACTATTGGTAAAGTAATTTTTGGCAGATATGAATTAGTAATTTATTGAGATATCTTTTAATTCTTTTTCAATTTTTTTCTCCAATATCTTAGCTTCTTCTCATACTACATAGGTGATACAACTATACATTTATGAATAAGAACTGTGTTTCCATGTTAACCTCCATATTCTGGAGAATTTTCCCGCAACACCACCTTTATTCAACATATAACCCACTCTGAATTACTTATAAATACTTAATACATTAGAAAAAATACATTTAATACAATATAGAAAAAAACAAATCAGAAACATATCAGTATAAGAAACTTGTCATTTCTTCTCTTATCATGTACACAGATATATACAGAAGTTACCAAATTCAAGTCTTTCTTGTAAGAGAAATTTAATGTATTTTAAATCAAGTCCAATAAATAAGGCTTTTACTAAATACTCTGCCCAGTAAATTGCTGATGATAAATCAGTAATGTAACCGAATACAATGAACAGAAGTAAGGACCAAAGTAAATATACAGTAAACAGGACTTCTGAGCTGCTTAGAAATGAACAAGAAAGATAAGTCAGATGGAAACAAAAATATGAAGGAAAAAACCTTACACATTCAACTACAACTATATTCGCTATGAATATAGAAATATATATATCTACTGTGAATATGAAACTATCTTATGAAATTCTAATTCTTAGGGCTTCAATCAATGTTACTATCTCACCAAATTATCTCTAGCTCAAACCTTTTGTCTAAGGTCCAGATCAGTGTACATGGAATCACCTCTTATACCAGCCTTAGGGTCTAAAATTACCACATACAGCAAAAATTGCAAATGAGCAACATTACCCATGGAAATTCTTTATTTTGCCCATTAAAGTAACATATAACACATACAATCCTAAATAGTAAATATATATATAAAAACATACATATATAAAAATACTAATAGCAATTTATAATAAAGAACACAAATAAAATACTTAATGCTCTTATTGGTATCTTAATTTCATGAAAAAGAGAGCACTTAGTGTTAAATGCATATACGGTATGTTGTGACTCTACCGTACTGCATCCTCAACATCTATGCCTGAATCCATAGCTATTTCAAACTTAACATGTTCAAAATAGGATCTATTATTCCCACTGCCTAATAAACTAGTTCAAAATGTGCTCTTGCTCTTACACTCAATACCTGTTCATTGTTTTGTCAGACTATATTCACTCCAGGCCTTCAGCTACATGCATTACCATTCCACAAAACAATTTTCATGTCACTTAAAATCTGATCCCAACTAACATCTCCAATTTCACATTCTACAACTTCCCAGTTCTCTAAATGTCAGCAACAATGTATTTCCTACCATTCCCATGCCTTTGTATGTGCTGTTCTCTCTACCTGGAAACACCATCTTTTCTGTAAAATCCTTACCAATTTTCAATAGCAACAACTAATTCATTCCTGTTTCTGTGCTTCTGGAGCACTCAGTCAAATCTCAATTATAAAGCCCATACTGCAATTATTTACATATTTATCTTCCACATTAGTCTATGAGCTTCTTGCTAACTCATCCTTGTATTTTGTGTCTGGGATATGGTATATGCTCAAAAAAAGCGAAGAAAAATATAAATGACAAAGGAAAAGCTAAGGGAAATGGGCAGGGATTATTACTAAAGGCATGAGTAGAGAAGGAAAGGAAATGTTAAGTACCATCAAGCGCTGGAACTTGATTTATCATTTTTTTCACTATTACATATGCAGGGCCCAGAAAGACACTTGAAATGAATAAAGATATTTTTTAAAGCCTAACAAGGAAGGAAGGAAGGAAGGTTAATATGTAGGTTTATAGTTAAAAAATAAATTGTATAAATAACAAGTGTTAGTGAGCATGTGGAGAAACTGGAACCCTATGGATCACTGATAAGGAGGCAAAATGGTACAGCTGTTACAGAAAACAGTTTGGTGGTACCTCAAAAAGTTAATGTAAAATTATTTTTGACCCAGCAATTCCACTCTTAGCTATATAACCAAAGAATTTAAAAGCAGAGACTCAAGTACTCATACACCAATGTTCATTGCAGCGTTATTCACAACCAAAAGGTGGAAATAATGCTAGTGTTCATCAACAGATGAATAAACAAAATGTGGTACATACATATACTGGAATATTTTTCAGTCATAAAAAAGAATGAAATTCTGACACATGCTAAAACATGGATGAACCTTGGAAATACTATGCTAAGTGAAATATGCCAGACACACTAGAACAAATATTGTATGGTTCCACTTATATGAAGTACCTGGAAGAAGCAAAATCATAGAGACTACATGTTACCACAGGCTATAGGGAAAGAGGAAACAGGGAGCTATTTTAATGGGTACAGAGTTTGTTTGGAATAATGAAAAAGTTGTGGAAACACTGGTGATAACTATACATTATGAAGTACTTAATGCTACTGAATTGTAGCGTTAAAAATGGTTTAAATGGCTAATTTAATATTATATATATTTTACCATAAAATATTATTATTCCAATTTTATAACATTTAAAAACCAAAACAGCAGAAACATTCTATTAATCCAACATTAAACATATTTATATATAAGAAAAACAGAAAATGTGCAGATTACTAGTATACAACAGTAAATAAACACAAACCTCCCATTGAGTGATTACATTTTTCAGCTTCTGGATTTCAGCATCTTTCCTTTCAAGTTCCAACTTTAGTCTTTCAATTCTTCCATCTTTCAAAACTACTTCCTGAAGAGAGAAAAACTCTATTTTAGAACTAAGATAGCCTGCTGATTCTGGTTTACAATATTCCTTTGTGAAAAGTTTGAGAAAAAAAGTCCCAATTTTCTCTTTTAATTCATTTTCCACAGCAACCTTCAATTGTTGACTGTATTTCCATTTCTATTCAATGATATAATTCTAATTATATACAATGCAAGCAAATAAGATATTTATGATTAATCTCAAACTGCAAACATACCCTATAATAATATCATGGCTTTGAAGTTATGTATTTATGAATAAACATACTAAAAGTGCTCTGTAATGAATTATTAGTCTATCATTAAGACCCAAAAGAATTGAAAACTTATGAGAAAAAACACAAAATAACAAAACAAGAAAATAAATAGCTTTGCTCTGTATCAGCAATTCGCAGGTAGAAGATACAACTAGAAAAACCATTTTCTCCCAATAGCAATAAAAAATATCCCCAAGAATAAAATTCAGAAATTTTCAGGATCCATTAAGAAAATTACAAAATACTGAAAAGGACATAGAACAAAGTATGTCAGTAGATAGGAAGACTAAATATTACTAAATATATTACTTTGTAAATTCAATACAATTTCTATTGAAATCCCAATGAGATTTTGTACTTTGGAACTTAGCAAGACAGTCAAAACTTCTTCTGGGAGAATACAGGACAGAAACAAAGTTAATGCAATGAAGAGGAATATGCCTAACAAATTATTGTATACAGTACAGCAAAAATAACTAAAGTAGCATAGTCATGGCACCTAGGTTGACAGAGCACTGTAACAGAAAATAAAGTCCAGAAAGAGATTTAAAACCTAAGAATTTATTATAATATAAATATAGTATTTTTAAAAACTGAAAAAAGGCTGAAGCACAGAATAGTAGATTACAAGACAAATGGCTAACTGGGAAAACAAGTTAAGTCCCTTCATCTTGTACCATATAACGAAATAAACAAACTCAAATGCAAAAAAAAAAAAATTCAAAGTTTTATTTTTGATAATAGTATAAATTGGTTCTATTTATCTAATGACTATGTGGAAACATTAACTTATTCTAAAAATACTCACTAAGCACCTAACTGCTACTAGATGCTGGGTATACAACAGTGAACAGAACTGAAAAGATTATTGCCCTGATGGGGATTGTCTGTTGCAGGAGGCAGATGTAAAAAAGAAATAATAGAAGCCCTGCCCAGGTGGCTCAGTTGGTTGGAGTGTTTCCTGTACACCAAAAGATTCCAAGTTCAATTCCTGGTCAGGACACATATCCTGTTGCAGGTTTCGATCCCTGGTCAGGGTGCATATGGGAGGCAACCAACTGATGTTTCTCTCTCACATCAATGTGTGTCTCTCTTTTTCTCTTCTCTTCTCTTCTCTTCTCTCCTCTTCTCTCTCGTTCTCTCCCCCCCCCCCCCTTTCCTCTCCCTCTAAAATCAATAAATATATCCTTAGGTGAGGATGGATAAATAAATAAAATAAAAAGTGGAGGTAAGAGATTTCCAGGTAGAAAGAACAGTATGTTCAAAAGCCCTAAGATAGGAAAGAGCCAAGAATTTGAAGAAAAAAGAGGCCAGTGGTTTGGAGCTTAGTGAGGGAGAAGATAGTACAAGATGATTTTGGAAAAACAGGTAGAGGCTTGATATTGGAGGGCCTTGTAGGCAACAAGAATGGCCTGCACATTCTGAGTAAAATAGCAGTGAAGGATTTTGAGCAGGACTATTAAGATTTATGTTAGATTATATTTTTAAAGAATGACTGTGGAAAATGGATTAGTCGGGTAGGACAGGTGGAAAGACCTTTAACTGCTACTGCAAGTACAGGTCAGAGAAGATTATACCTTTGATTAGGGTGGAAGCAGTTTAAATGGAAAGAAGCATATTATGTAAGAAATTATTTAAAAGTGTAATCAAGAGCATTTGATGAGAGGTTGAATGTGGCAGTTGAGAAAGATGGACACTTTGAGTTTCTAGTTTAAGGAATAAGGTGGGTGGACCAAAATTAGAAATATACATACTATTAGGCCCAGAAATCTCACTTAGAAGTGAGGGAAAGTGTATCTATCAGTGTTCACTGTGATTTATTACAACAAAAAATTGGACATCAATTTAAATGCCGAACTATAGAATATAGGCTAAATATATGGTAAATTTATGAAACTGTGAAACTCTTGAAATCACTAAAAATAACAATATACACTATAAAATACATTAACATGATCTCAAATTATAATGCTAAATGCAAGGAAAAATGCAGGGAGTACATAAAAGAAAATTTTAATAACTCTCTTAGGACATTATGAAATACTAGTATTTTCACTTCATTTAAAAATTATCTTATCAAAATTGTTTTATACTGAGTATATAATCATTTAACAATATAAAATACTATTTTGATTTTGAAAAATTAAACCACATAAGTATTAAAATGGTATCTAGATGAATATGAATATATATCATTTTTAATAGGAAAGCCCTTCTGAATATACCAAAGGGAGAAAACTGAAAGGAAAAGATTAATAGATTTAACTTGATGAAAAATTTTTCTAAAAATACTGTAATAAAATCAAAAGATAAATGATTATCTGGAAATAATAAGTCACAATCCATATGACAGGCATATGAGCAAAAAACATGAAGAAATGTATAATCTCAATAATAAGCAAAAAATATTCTATCAAACTGGCACATAAAAATATTTTTTCCTCTGTGTGGGTAACTGAAAACAACTTAGTTATTAAAAATTCAACTATTTCATGTTCAAGAATTATTACTTAACTAGAGGCCTGGTGCACGAAATTCGTGCACTAGGGGAGGTGGGGGGGGGGTCCCTCAGCCCAGTCTGCACCCTCTCCAATCCAGTACCACTGGCTCCAAACTGCTCACCTGCCTGCCTTCCTGATCGCCCCTAACCACTCTGCCTGCTTGCCTGCCTAATGCCCCTAACTGCTCCCTGCCAGCCTGATCGGCCCCTAACTGTTCTCCCCTGCCAGCCTGATTTCCCTGCTCTCCCCTGCAGGCTTGATCGCCCCTAACCACCTCTGCCTCGGCCCCCGCCACTGTGGCTTTGTCTGGAAGATGTCTGATCTGATTAGCATATTACCCTTTTATTAGTATAGATGACCTGAAATGCTCACCATCTGCATTTAACTAAAAAGTGGTCCATATAACAGTTTCTACATTACTGGGAGGAAAAAGTATATATCCACAGAAAATAAAGGCCAAAACAAAATATACACAGAAACAAATTTCATAAAATATGAATAGACATACTCTGACATTTTTTTGTTTTTGCAAATGCTGGCAGCAATCTACTAAAACTGATTTCAAAACCTGTTAAATGAGTTGAGACTCAGAAAAGCAAACCTGAGGACTTAAAATGTCAGGTCAAGGACACTGTAAATCCTCACTTAAGGTCATGGATAGGTTCTGCAAGTTTCAAAATGACATATAACAAAACCAATTAAGTTCCTATGGCATCATGTCACTGTTAAAATGAACAAAACCATGTTATTCAAGGACTTGCTGTACTTGATTCAACAAACAGTGAAGTTTAAAGACATGGAAAAGAAGATAGATTTGAAAAAGATTTCCAAGATTAAAACTCCCAAGCCTTGAAAAACAGAAAAGTGAAAAAAGGAAGTTTTTAGAGTCTGGGTAACTAGATCAAATGATAAAACCAAAAATGATGAAAGTCAAGCCAAACACTTGGTTTGGAGACAGGATGATGAGCCTGAGTTTGCACATAGTGAGTACACTAGTAAGGTATCCACAGAATAAGAATGAAATATGCCATAAGGGCCCTAGCCGGTTTGGCTCAGTGGGTAGAGCGTCGGCCTGCGAACTAAAGGGTCCTAGGTTCGATTCCAGTCAAGGGCACATGCCTGGGTTGTGGGCTCGATCCCCAGTGGGGGACTTGCAGGAGGCAGCCAATCCATGATTCTCTCTCATCATGGATGTTTCTATCTCTATCTCTCTCTTCCTTCCTCTCTGAAATCAATGAAAATATATTTTTTTAAAAATGCCATAAGGGCAATTACTAAAACAGACACCTAAAGGCCATAAAGTGAATGGGATCAGGAATGGATGATCTACCCAATTCCAGTGAAGTTGTGGAGAAAACTTCCTGCCAATAGAAGACAATGTTGATAAGCATCAAGAGCAACACAGATGTGTATATCCTTTGACTAATTTACTATTTTTAAGAATTTATTCCAAGGAAATAACTCATCAAAGAATTAAATACATAAAGATGTTAAATGAGTATCAGGTGACCAATTCTAAACAACCTAAATGTTCAATAATAGGACATTGACCAAGCTGTAATTATAACATACTGCTTTGACAGAATATAAAGCATGGTTTACAAAACAGCTATGAAACTATATTACTTACTGTTACAATTATTTTTAAATACCTATACATGTGGCATTTTCCTACAAAAAGAATATTCAAAAATGAAGCCAAATGTTGTGTTAAGAACGGCCAAATTAGGGTTGTACAGAAAAAAAGGATTTTAACCTGGGCAAAAAAGAAGAGCTTTCTTTCTCTGAGAAAGGAGTATAATGGGGAGAGGAAGGACGTGAAAAAAAAAAGAGTATTTTTTTAAATAGCCTCAATCTTTTTCTCCTATTACACTCAATGACATGAGAAATTCTTAATTTGTTTATGAAAATTTCATACATGCAAAAGAAATATATATATGTGTGTGTGTGTATATATATATATATGAATCATACAGGTTAAGATAAAAGAAAAAATGCAATATGCAGATTAGGAATTTGAACACTGAAAACAGTATGGAGGGTCTGCAAAACATTAAGAAGAGAGTTACCATATGACCCAGCAACCTCTCTTCAGGATACCTACCCAAAAAATTTGAAAACCTTTACTTGCAAAGATAAATGCACCTCTAGCCCAGCCCATGTGGCTAAGTGGTTGAGGTTTGGCCCATGAACCAGGAGGTCACGGTTTAAAAAGGCATCTGTGATATATGCGCCCTGTGTTCATTGCAGCATTATTCACTGTGGCCAATGCATGGAAACAACCCAAGTGTCCCTCAATAAATGACTGGATAAGATGTGGTACATACATACAATGGAACACTACTCAGCCATAAAAGATGAAATACTGCCATTTGCAACAATGTCATGCCAAGTGAAGTAAGTCAGACAGAAAAAGTCAAGAACCATTTGATTTCACTATATGTGGGATATAAAACTGAGAACAACAAATGAACATACAAGAACAAACAGAAACTCATAGGCACAAACAACAGTATAGTGGTTACCAGCAAGAAGGGGGGGGGTTGAGGAGGTAGTAGAGGATAAAGGAGGTCAAATATATGGTGACAGAAGTAGATTTGACTTTGTGTGGTGGGCACACAATGCAATATCCAGATCATGTATCAAAAAAATGTACACTTAAAACCCATATAATGTCACCCCAATAAATTTAATGGGGGGGGAGAATTCGAACATTACCATATTTTGGCATCCCCCATGTGCCTCTACCAGTCATATCCATATCCCTCCCCTTCTGTTACAAATTTTGTCCTTCTTTTCCTGTTAGTCTTGCACTACACATATACATATCCCTAAAATATTCTATTTTTTGAAATTGCTATAAATGGTATCAAACAATTATTTGGTGACCTTATTTTTTTAATTAAACATGTTTTTTATATTCCTACATGTTGCTAAGTATAGCTGTCATTAATTTCTCTTATTGATTCTGTTATTACACACAGATGAGTTTTCAACATTATTCTTGAACATGTCTCTAGGGTTTAATCTAAGGTAGAATTTCTAGAACATACAGTCTGCCCATCATCTTCAACTTTTAAAGTTAATGCCAAATTATTTTCCAAAACGGTTATACCAATTTACACTACCACTAATGTGTTACTGTTCTTCTATATCCATAAAAATATTGAGTATCATCTGTCTAATCCCTATCACCAGTCCTCACCTTCATTCAGTTTTTCATAGCAAATGCAGTAGAAATTAATATTACCATATATAAGCTTGTTCTATACTGAAAAATCTTCAAATATTCTTTACTATCTACTAACTATATCATAAATTAGGCCTTTAAATTTCCTCTAATCTTTTCCAACCTGCCTTACCAAACTTACCTAATACTACTAGTATTCTCCTCTATGATCCTTCTGTTTTAATTAAGCTGGTTTATACTTTATTGCTTCAATACTTTTACTCATGGAATTCCAGTTTCCTCTCCCTTACCTCTGCATGTTCAAATTCTACTGTCTTTTAAATTCTAATCCAAAAGCTATTTTCTTCTAAGAAAGCCATCTCTAATCTCCATTCATGTTAATTACTATCACACTTTACCAAGTATATTCTTTTAGACTTACCATTTTCTATCTTGTACAAAAATAATTATCTATTAAACGTGTACTATGTTCATGCTCTGCTAAACATTTTGATTCATAATTGCTAATTTTCCTACTAACAGTACATGACAGATAATTTCATCCCAATGTAACACAGCTGATAAGCTGCAGAAGCTATATCTTGTGTTACTAGGTTTGTTTGATTTCAAAGACTTCCCTTTCTACCATACTGCACTGTCCTGTGGTTTTATTAAATCATTAATACTAATTGTTTAATTAACATACATACCCAATTTTGTTCTACAAAGGGTTTAAGACATCTATTTGTCTAAATATATTAATGTCATTCTTTCTATCAAAAAATTATCTGAGCCGGGGGATAGGGGAGGCTGGGAGGAAGGTCAATGGGGAAAAAAAGGAGACATATGCACTACTATTCGTAATACTTTAAAGTTACAATAATAAAAAAAATAATATAAAAAAAATGATCTGAAATGGCTTAAAAAATAAGAAAGGGGAAAATCATACATAGTCAATAAAAAAGAAGAAAGCAAATATGCTAACCATATAAGTTAACATGGTTGCTTGGACTGTACATAAACTTTGATAGTCAAGGCAAAACAGGAAAACATTAAATAAATGCCAGAAAAGAAGAAACAAGTACTTCAAGGGCAAGCAAGGATTATCCATTACTAAGTTGAAAATAGATTTTCATGTGGAATTATGTTAGTGTTATTAACCAATCTTACTTCTGCATTGGAGTAAACTGTTCTTAAGGGTCTGACTTTTTGTGTCCTTTAAAACAATACAGATGTTTAATTCGTGGAATGATTGAATTTATCAGTCTTAGGAAACAAAGAGATAGCATCTATTGAAGAGAATGACAAGATGGAAAACGGGCTTTTAGAATTTGGAATAGCCTCTGTAGGTGTTTGTCAAAGTCAGAAAGAAATGAATCAAAAGTTTTTTAAGTAGAAATAAGGATACGGTAAAAGTTAGACAGTAATGATTTTGAGAACAGAACATTAGTACTGTTTTTCAGCAATACCTGGCAGCCCACAAATTAATGATGGTGGTGAACACACAATACAGTATACAGATTATGTGTTGGGGTGGTGAACACACAATTGTGTGCAGAATCTTTCAGTTTCCTGAATATTCAGTCTAACTAAGGCAGTGGTTCTCAACCTTCTGGCCCTTTAAATACAGTTCCTCATGTTGTGACCCCACCATAAAAGTATTTTCGTTGCTACTTCATAACTGTAATGTTGCTACTGTTATGAATCATAATGTAAATATCTGATATGTAGGATGGTCTTAGGCGACCTCTGTGAAAGGGTCGTTCGACCGCCAAAGGGGTCGCGACCCACAGGTTGAGAACCGCTAAACTAAGGCCTTTCCTAATTTGGGGCCTTTGTTCTGGCAGGGAATAAAAGAAAACCAAGAAAGGAAGGGGAAAGCGTTCACATATAAGATAAAGAACAGGTTCATAGTTTAAGAGAAAGCAAGACAGAAGACTAGCTGTTAGGAACAGATTTATAGGTCTCTATATGATGAGATATTTAAAAAAAAAAATCCTCACTGAGGATATGTTTTTCTTGACTTTAGAGAGAAGGGGGGGAGGGGGGGGGAGAAACATCGATTGGTTGCCTCTCGTACACATCCAACCAGACATCAAACCCGAAATCTAGGTATGTGCTCTGACCAGGAATCAAACCCATAACCTTCTGGTATATGGGACAATGCTCCAACCGAGTCACCTGGACAGGTGAGATACTTTTTTTAAAACAATATTTTAAAAATGTGAATGACAAGAAAAATAGAGACAAACTCAGAGAGAGAGCAGGCTGACAGCTGTGGGGGGGGGGGCGGTTAAGAAACTAGTGGAGGGTGGAGGGATTGAGCAAAAATGAAAAAATTCAACAGTGTGTTGATTGCCAGGAGAGGGAGGGGGTGGGAAAGGTGTAAAGGTATAGGGTGGATAAACGGTGATGGACAGAGACTTCACTTGGGGTGGTGAACACACAACACAGTGTACAGATGATGTGTTGTGGAATTGTGCCCCTGAAACCTATATAATTTTATTAACTAGTGTAACCCCAATACATTCAATACAAAGGAAAAAAATAAAAATGCGAATATCATTCTTTGCTTGTGGGCCTTATAAATACAGACTATTAACCAGGGTTGACTTGTCTGCAACCCCTGGTCTACAGGATAAAATTCTAACTTATTTTCACATAAATAGACCTCTGTACTTCTTAGATGCAGAATTTTTCAGTTTCATGAATATTTCCTCTAAGGCAGTGGTTCTCAACCTTCTGGCCCTTTAAATACAGCACCTCATGTTGTGACCCAACCATAAAATTATTTTCGTTGCTACTTCATAACTGTAATGTTGCTCCTGTTATGAATCGTAATGTAAATATCTGATATGCAGGATGGTCTTAGGCGACCCCTGCGAAAGGGTCGTTCGACCGCCAAAGGGGTCGCGACCCACAGGTTGAGAACTGCTGGTCTAAGGCCTTTCCTAACTCTGGGCCTTTGTTCTTGTAGTTCCCTATGCTTTCTCCAATTCTCAGCTTACAGTGATATTCATTCATCATTCAAAGTCCATCCCAAATGTCACTTTTTTTAAATAATATATTTTGACTTTTTGAGATAGAGAGGAAGGGAGAGGGATAGATAGAAACATCGATGAGAGAGAAACATTGATTAGCTGCCTCCTGCACGCCCTCCACAGGGACCAAGCTCATAACCTGGGCACGTGCCCTGACCGGGAATCAAACCAGTGGCCTCTTGGTTCCTGGCTCAATGTTCAACCACTGAGCTACACCGGTCGGGCCCAAATGTCACTTCTTTATGTACCTTTCAGAGTTTACCCAAGTGATCTATTATTACCTTTTCTATTCAAAACCTCTTTATTTTTCATATCTCTCTTAAAGTCTTCGTCATGCTAAAATATATTATTTTTACAGATCTACCTCCTCCAATCCCCACTGAGTGTCTAAGGAAAAGAAGGTCTTATCCATCTTGGTATTCCTACTCCCCTCCATTGGAGTCTAATATTACCTAGCATATAGCACATGCTCAGTAAGTATTTATCAACGAATGAAGTACTTTACACTTTTTAATATAAACATCTACAACTAAGGATTTAAGACAAATCCTAAAACTATACCTTATTAGAATCATAATTGGATTCCACTGCTTATGTTTTTAAAAAAAGAAAAAATATATTTTAGTTTTACTGTGATTTTAAGAGAATTTTCTATTTTACATGCCTGGTTGTGTTCATGAGCTGCAAAATTATCTGTTCCATTATATTCTGTAAGCTGTTCTCTTCTTTTTTCTCTAATAAGAATTTTATGAACATCATCTTCCAGTCTATTGAAGAATCCTCCATCATGTGTTAAAGTCTGAGAAGAACTCAATTCCTGTCAAAAATGAATTGTGGTTTACTATCATTCAACAAAAAAGTGTATGCATTCAATAAGCCTAGTCAGCCCCTAGAAGGAGAAGGAAAGAAAAAGGGTAACTAAGAAACAATCAACTATCTAATTCTCCTCTATCTTCAGAAGATAAACAGCAGAGACACATTTTGAAATGTTTTCTTACTTCTTCATAATTTTTGTGTTGGATATCACTTGACTAAAAAATGTTTTATCCATATACCATACAATTCACCCATTTAATGTACATAATTCAGTGGTTTTAAATATGCTCACAGAGTTGTGCAACCATAGCCACAATTTTTTAAGTTTCATCACCCACAAAGAAACCCTGAATCTATTAGTGGTCATTCCCCATTTCCTTTTTTTTTTTAAACTTCTAAATGTATTTTATTGATTTTTTACAGAGAGGAAGAGAGAGGGATAGAGTTAGAAACATCGATGAGAGAGAAACATCGATCAGCTGCCTCTTGCACACCTCCTACTGGAAATGTGCCCGCAACCAAGGTACATGCCCTTGGCCGGAATCGAACCTGGGACCCTTCAGTCCGCAGGCCAACGCTCTATCCACTGAGCCAAACCGGTCAGGGCCCCATTTCCTTCTAATACTTTACTAGAGGCCCAGTGCACAAAAATTTGTGCACTCAGGGGTCCCTCAGCCCGGCCTGTGCCCTCTCGCAGTCTGAGACCCCTCAGGGGATGACCACCTGCTGGCTTAGGCCCGCTCCCCGGGGGATTGGGCCTAAGATGGCAATCAGACATCCCTCTGGCAGCCCGGAAGCCCTTGGGGGATGTCCACTTGCCAGCGGGGAGTAGGCCTAAACTGCAGTCGGACATCCTTAGCGCTGCTGAGAGGCAGGAGAGGCTCCCACCACCACCACTGTACTGGCAGCCATCAGCCTGGCTTGTGGCTGAGCGGAGCTCCTCCCATGTGAGAGCGCCCTGACCACCAGAGGGCATCTCCTGCATTGAGTGTCTGCCCCCTGGTGGTCAGTGTGTGTCATAGTGACCAGTCATTCCCATTCCTTCTGCTGTTAGGGTCAGTTTGCATATTACCCTGTTACTATATAGGATAGAGGCCTGGTGCACGGGTGGGGGCCGGCTGGTTTGCCCTGAAGGATGTCCCGGATCAGGGTGGGGGTCCCACTTGGATGCCTGGCCAGCCTGGATGAGGGGATGATGGCTGTTTGCAGCTGGTCACACCCCCTTCAGGGTGGGGGTCCCCACTGGGGTGCCTGGCCAGTCTGGGTGAGGGGCTGAGGGCCGTTTTCAGGCTGGCGGGTGACTGAAGCTCCCAACCTCTCCTTTTTTTTCTTTTTTCTTTTTTATTCTGGGATTTATTTACCTTCTATGGCTGTCACTGGAGCTGAGAGCCAGCTTTAGCTCTGAGGCTAGGCTCCAGCTCTGAGACCTCAGCTGCTGAAAGCAGGTATCTGGGCTTTGTTTAGCTTCTATAATTGAAACACTGTTGCTTAGAGTGCAGCTCAGAGCTGGGCGGTGGCAGGCGGGGAACCTTGGCTTCCTCCATCACTGGAGCAAGCAAGCCTCCTGTTCCCTTCAGCTGCCTGGCTGCCGGCCACCATCTTGGTTGGCAGTTAATTTGCATATCGCCCTGATTAGCCAATGGGAAGCGTACCAGAGGTACAGTTAATTACCATGTTCGTCTATTATTAGATAGGATTTGAATCTCATTAATGCTATAAGAGGTTCATAGAACAAGAATTATTTTCCCACAAAATAATCATGGCCTCAGGAAAGTTAAATAAACTTGCCCACGAGTCTACTAAGACTACTGCTTGAAAAAATAATTCAGGTACATTCCAATAAGATTTCATTTTAAAACAACATGCTTAAAACACTGCTGAGCTTCTGTGGAAGGAATAGCATGATGATGGCAACTAATTAGCCGCTGGATTTCACTTCCTTTAAAGAGTGCAGTTCCACAAAATAGAAATAAAGGCCTGGTTACATTGACAGACTGACTGCTGTCAGAGGGGAAGGGCTTTGGGGGCTGAATGAAAAAACATGAAGGGATTAAGCGCGCGCGCACACACACACACACACACACACCCCACAGATTTTAAAATTTAATATCTAGCCAATTCAATTTAACTCAAATTATGAACACTTATTATATGCCAAGCATATAATGTAAAAGACAGTATAATGGTGGTTCTGTTAGTATAGCCCTATAGGTCTCGGGAACATAATTGAGAGTCTAGACATAAGCCTTCACATTTATGGTGACTATCAACAATAAAAAATATTTTTTTAAAAGAAAAATTACCTGGAAACCAATGAAAATGAATGCACAACAACCCCAAATCCATGGGACACAGAGAAAGCAGTCCTGAGAGGGAAGTTCACAGCATTGCAGAAGCAAGAAAAATCTCAAATAAACCATTCTAACCCAACACCTAAAAGAGCTAAAAGAAAAACCAAACCAACAAACAAAGCCCAGAATAAGTAAAAGGAAGGAAATAATAAAGATCAGAGCAGAAATAAATGCTATAGAAACTAAAAAATAAAACAATACAAAAGATCAATGAAACCAAGAGCTGGTTTTTTAAAAAGATAAACAAGTCTGGCCAGTGTGCTTCAGTGATTGAGTGTCGACCCATGAACCAAATGGTTCAATGCCCTGTCAGGGCACATGCTAGAGTTGTGGGCTCAATCCCCAGTAGGAGGCATCCAGGAGGCAGGTGATCAATGATTCTCTCTCATCATTGATGTTCTATCCCTCTCTCCCTCTCCCTTACTCTCTCTGAAATCAATAAAAACATACTTAAAAAAAAAAAGATAAACAAGATCGATGAACCTTTGACCAGACTCATCAACAAAGAAAGAGGAGATTCCAAAATGACGGCAAAGTGGATGCTACACTGATGAACTCCCAGAACCAAAGTGGAATTACAACTAAAATACTGAAAAAAAACTGTCCTGAATAATCAACTGAAGACTAGCTGAAGAGATTCCTGATAGCCAAAGACAGAAAGTAGAGCCGCACAGAGACAGGTAGGAGGTGCCGAGGCACGAAAGGGCTGGCTGGGCTCCTACAGGCAGCAGCTGAAGTTCCTGAAGGATATCTCAGCTGTGGGGGGTTCCCACTGAGAACTCTGGAGTCTAAACCCCAGGCTGGGCTCCCCAGCTCAGAGAACCAGAACTGAGAAAGGTGCCCAAGTAACATCTGGCTGTGAATAGCAGCAGGGTTGCTGTCTGCCAGAGAAAGAGAGCTGAAAAGTCAGGCACCCTCTAAAAGGGCCAACACACAAAATTTCACATGCAGCCACTCACCTTGGGCTCTGACAGAGTGGACTAGTGCTGTGTGAGCAGAAGCCAGGATGGGGGCTCTTGGATTAGACCTCTGAAGGTAGTCACCTGAATTTCCTGTGCTGAGTCATTGCCTCATGCTGCAGAGGGCATCTGTCTCTGGTGAACCTTTACTATCCAGGTGGTTTTTGCCTGGGGGAAAAGCAATTGCCCCACCACCCTATTGAAAAATGCCTTACCCCCTGCTAGGTAAAGCAGACCTTGGTGCACATCTTCCAAAGGCACCCAGCCCCAGCAAAGGGAGACACAAGCTTTGGATTGCTGATAGCTCCAAACAGGATATGCAGTGCCAGACAGAAACAGTGTCTGACACTGTCCTGCACCAGAGATTGGGAAGCATAGCAGATCTACGTAATTACATAGTCACAAACCCAAACAAGCAGCCAAAATGGAGAGACCAATAAATAAATAAATAAATACCCCCCAAACGAAAGAACACGAGAATTCTAAACAAGAGAGATGGAATTCTCCAGAAGAAGAGCTAAATTAAATGGAGGTAAGAAATTTATCAGACATACAGTTCAAAATAATGGTGGCAAATATGCTCAACATCATAAGATATAGTAACTATGAAGAATGACATACACTAATAAAGAACATAGTGGAAGGAATACACAGCAGATTAGGGGAAGCCAAGGATCAGATCCGTGAATTAGAAAACAGAGTAGAAAAAAAATCACTCAGAGAACCAAAAAAAACCAAAATCAATTAAAAAACAGGACAGCTTAAAGGAGCTGTGGGACAACATGAAATGCAACAATATTTGCATTATAGGAGTGCCAGAAGGAGAAGAAAGTGAGCAAGGGCTAGAGAATGTGTTTGAAAAAATAATGGCAGAAAATTTCCCTAACCTAGTGAACAAAAAAGTCATACAAGTTCAGGAGGCACAGACTCCCAAGCAAGAAGAACCCAAACAGGCCCATGCTCAGACACATCATAATTAAAATGCCAAAAATTAAAGACAAAGAGAAAATCTTAAAAGCAGCAAGACAAAAGCAATTTGTTACCTACCAATAAACTCCCATAAGGCTGTCATCTGATTTCTCATCAGAAACTCTACAGGCAGAAGGGAATGGCATGAAGTATTCAAAGTAATGAAAAGCAAGGACCCCAAACCAAGATTACTATATCCAGCAAGACTAACATTCAAAATAGATGTTGAAATAAAGACCTTCCCAGACAAAAAAGGGTAAAGAAGTTTGTCACCACCAAACCAGCACTGCAGAAATGCTTAAGGGACTGTTATAATGAGAAGAAATAGAAAAAAACAAATGAGACTACATCAAAATAAAAAGCTTCTGCACAGCAAAATAAGCCATCAACAAAATGAAAAGGGAGCCCCTTATGGGATAACATATTTGGCAATGATATCCTATATAATAAAAAATTAATATGCAAATAGACCGAACAGCGGAACAAACGGAACCACCAGACAACTGGTTGCTATGACATGTGCTGACCACCAGGTGCTGTGCAGGGAACATGGCGGGCGTCGGCCGCGGCGGGATGGTGGAGCTGGTAAGCAGGGGTGCCAGACCAAGGCAGGGCCTGCTGGTCGCTGTCACTGGGGCGAGCCTTTGGTAGTTACTGAAAATTCTTTGCTCCTGTGCACCATGGGCCCACCCGGTGCTCACACCTGCTGCCAGCACCAGTCCCACTCGCACCCGCTGCTGGCGCCGGCCCCAATTGCTCCACGCCGTCAGGGAGTGTGAGCAGGGCTAGCGCCGTCAGCGCATGGGAGTTGTGGCAGCGGGAGCAGGGCTGCAGGTAGAGAGGGGACCTGGGGCCACGGCAGGAAGGGCCAGGCGGAGGCACAGAGGATTGGCCAAAACCCACCTCTGTGCCCACTGCAGCCTCACAGCCTACAGTTCCTTTCAAGGTGCATGAATTCATGCACTGGGCCCCTAGTATCTAATAAAGGGTTAATATCCAATGTATATAAAGAACTCATACAGCTTAACAAAAGGAAGATAAACAATCCAATTAAAAAATGGGCAAAGGACCTAAATAGACTTCTCCAAAGATGGCCAAGAGACATGAAAAAATGCTCAAAGTCACTGATCATCAAAGAGATGCAAATTAAAACAAGGAGGTATCACCTCACACCTGTTAGAATGACTACAATCAACAAACAATATATGCTGGTGAGGACGTGGAGAAAAGGGAAACCTTGTGCACTGTAGGTGGGAATGCAGATTAGTGCAGCCACTGTGAAAAGCAGTATGGATTTCCCTCAAAAATTAAAAATGGAACTGCCTTTTGACCCAGCGATCCCACTTCTGGGAATATATCCAAAGACTCCCAAAACACCAATTCAAAAGGATATATGCACCCCTATGTTCATTGCAGCATTATTTATAACTAGAGGCCCGATGCACAAAAATTTGTGCAAGAGCAGGCCTTCCTTCCCCCGGCTGCCAGCACCGGCTTCCCTCTGGCATCTGAGACCTGGGCTTCCTCCTCCAGCCGCTGGCAGGCACCAAGGACCCGGGCTGCTTCCCTCCTCTGGCCGCCCACAGGCACCCGGGATCCGGGCTGCTTCCCTCCTCCAGCTGCCCGCAGGTACCTGGGATCCAGGCTGGCTTCCCTCGGGCCACCCACAGGCACTTGGGACCCAGGCTGGCTTCCCTCGGGCTGCCCACAGGAACCCGGGACCGGGGCTGGCTTCCCTCCGACCCCGGCTTTGTCAAGAAGGACGTCCAGAATGACGTCCGGTCTAATTAGCATATTACCCTTTTATTATTATAGATGGCCAAGTTCTGGAAACAGCCCAAGTGCCCATCAGTAAATGAGTGAATAAAAATGCTGTGGTACATTTATACAATGGAATATTATGTGGCCATAAAAAATAAGGAAATCTTACCTTTTGTGAAGCATGGACAGACGTGGATGTTACTATGCTAAGTGAAATAAGCCAGTCAGAGAAAGATAAATACCATACGATCTCACTTACATGTGGAATATAATGAACAAAATAAACTGTTGAACAAAATAGGTCCAGATACATAGATGCATGGGACAGACTGACAGATCTCAGACGGAAGGGAGGCAAGGAGTTGAAAAGAGATTAACCAAATATATTATATACATATATGCATAGCCCATGAACACAGACAATAGTACAGGTGGGGTAGGGTTTGGGTGTAAGGGAGCAAAGCGGGGATAGGAATAGGGGACATCTGTAATACTATCAACAAAATAATTTTTTAAAAATGGGCAGAGGACCTGAACAAATATCTCTCCCAAGAAGACATACAACCGATACATGAAAAGATGTTCAACTTCAAAGCTATTAGGGAAATGCAACGCAAAACTACAATGAGATACCACCTATTAGAATGAGTACTATCAACAAGACAAGTAATAACAAGTGTTGGAGAGGTTATAAAGAAAAGGGAACCCACATTCACTGCTGGTGGGAATGTAGACTAACTGATTAAGCCACTATATAGAATAGTCTTGTGGTTCCTCAAAAAATTAAGAATTAAGAATAGAGTTACCATATGACCTAGCAATCCCTCTTCAGGGTATCTACTTGAAAAAAATTTTTTTCGCAAAGATATATGCACCCCTATGTTCACTGCAGCATTATTCATGGCGGCCAAGACATGGAAACAAAAGTGTCCTTCGATAGAGGATTGGATAAAGATGTGGTACGTACATACAATGCAATATACTGAGCCATAAGATAAAATATTGCCATTTGTGACAACATGGATGTACCTTCAGAATATTATGCTAAGCAAAATAAGTCAGAAAAATCTAAGGACCATATGATTTCACTCATATGTGGGAAATAAAACTGAAACTCATAAACAGTATGGTGGTTACCAGAAGAAAGGGAGTGGGGAGTTGGGGGACCAAGGAGGTCCAATATATTGTCACGGAAGATGGTTTGACTTAGGGTAGTGGGCACACAATGCAATATATAGATGACATTTCATAGAAATACACACTTGAAACCCATATGATACTATTAACCAGTCACCCCAATAAATTTAATTTTTAAAAAGAGGAGAAAAGCAAAAGGAAGAACTACTCAACATAAAGGTGCTAGGACTTGCTGAGTTTAAAATAAAACCTTTTCTCATTCTCAAAAACAAAATTATAATGAAAAACAAAATATAGGCTATGTCACATACCTATGCTTCTTTAAATACAACTCAGATTAAGTACATATATTAAAGAGATGAAATCCTGGTCAGACTGCCTTTTTTTTCCCTTCTCTCAAATCAGTAAAGAAGAAAAAGTAAGCATGGAACAGTTCATAAAAATTATTTTTTCTTCTACTAAGAGTTGGGGGTAGTTTCTTAGGAATATGGTGTACCATTTTCTATCTACTTGCTTATTCACATAAAACTAACGTTCATTTTTTAATCAGTGGATTAAAAAAATTGGAATCAATCTAAAAGTACATGTTTTCCACTTTCAAACATAAAATTAATAGTCCATATTTGTGGTCATTTAAGTTTAATCTAAGAATTGGTGACAGTTGTTTGTAAATAAAGTCAAAAGAATTTCTAACATCTGTTTCACCAGAGTTTGCTGTGAATAGTTAAGGATTATATTATTAATATAGTAACAGAGTTATTTAAATTTTATTTTCATATATATGAATTTATTATCCCTGACTTGTCAAGCAAATGCATGAAACAACAAAAAATTATTAAGAACCATGTATGTGTTCTAAAGTGAAACCAAGAAATATAGCTGGCCATTAAAAAATCAATTAATGGAATTATCGACAAGATACACAAACATCATATAAGAATAATAAAACTTTCAATTATTACCTAAAGAAGTAAAAAGAACTCAACAATTTTTAGTACCATCCTCAATATTAAAATATATTGTATAGTAGTCTCATTTCCTAATTCTAAAGGGTTTGTAGAGGCTTTATGGAATTTTTTTAAAAAGGTACCAAGAACACTAGGAAGTTATAGCTATACTACCCTCTAAAGGTGAATGGTAAGAAAAGTATATGATCAGGTTAATCTTATTCATGGGTATAAACTATATAATTAAAGTTTACCTCACAATTTTTTAATTCCAAAATACCTAAAGACATGGTATTTCAGGATGTTTTTAATGAAGATTAAAATACAGACTGATAATAAAATACAGACTTTCCCTAAAGTTTTAACTTACATGTCATAGCCTTTTGACTCACAGGCACACACAAATCAGGATGCTAAAGCCAAATGACATTACATTATATTTCATGCAAATAATCATATGCTTATTCTGACACAATATATTTTATATCCTTATAATTGCCAGAAACATGATTGAGTTTACTCATGAAAAACCTATGGGTTGTTCCGTAAATGACTATGACTCAAAAAAAGACCTACTACTAAACATTGAAGTATTATTCTTATAATCATGAAATATTTTCTAAAATAAAGATGGTTACAACACTTACCTCTGTCTTTTTATTAATGTGATCTGTAAAATAGAATGGTGATACTTCATTGAAGGAAATTAACAGATAAAATATTTTAATATGTAAAAAATATTTAAACAAAGTAACAAGAGAATTTCAAAATTATGAGTTTCAGAAGTCATTTGGGGGTTGCCTAGGATTCATCAGATTTACTCTTCTAAAGATAAGATGTTAAAATTCAGTATATAACTATTAATTTGTTCAGCTTTGGGACTAGGTCTTATATTCCAGTAAATGCCACCCATAACAAAGAGGTATTATTAAATTTTAAACATTTGAATTTAAGTTTTGGTTTCACATAGTATGTTTGGAAGGAGGAGAGAATTTGAGAGGGCACAAAATATGTCTAAAATCAAATCACAGGATACTATGACTGCAAAAACTATACAGACCACTGCCTTTGTGGAATAAAATAAAAAGTCAAATAATAATTTATGTCCTTTAAAACTATTAGCTAGGTTTTGTTTTAAAAAATGCATCATAGTGATTTGATATACTATAAAAATTCTAAAAATTAACGTATATTTATAGAACACAAAAAGAAGGCAAAACAAATATATCTAGATTAAAGAAATCATTTTCTTAGTAACAATAGCATTTGTGAAAAGGGATTACAGAATGAGGAAAAGGAAGACATAAGGGAATCCACACAGAAGACTGAAACTAAAGTACAAATAGGGAGCAAGTGTTCTTATTTAAATTGAAAATTATCAGGATATCTAATATTTAATAAGACTTCTTGTGGACAGCAAAAATTCTCCATTCTCAAGGACTAATAATTGAATAGAATAGCTTTCTTATGATTGAGAATCTAAAAGTTGAACCAGTTCTCTAAAGCATTCACTAATCAGAATAGAGTCCATAAAGATAGTAAATGTCAAAATCACAAGTTTCAGATCCAACTACTAAATCTTAGTAGATTACAATTTACTAGCCTATTCTACTTAGCATACAATGTGATGCCAGAACCTGAGAAAGAATGTGTTAATCACATCTTATAATTGTTTCTCCTTTAACAGTATTATACTGATGTCTTTCTCAATCCATCTAATACATTTATATAACACTTAATAAATCAAACATATGGAAAATTGAGTTTCTTTACATGCTTCTGCTTAATTTTTAAGAAAATATTTCTTATATAAAATCTTTCTTACTAAAATTGGAAATTTTATTTTAGCATACATCTGGTCCTTTTAACCCCAAAACAAAGCAATTTTCCTGATCCTTAAAGGAGAGCAATAGATCCTCTAAATTTATTCCTACTTTCATTAGGCTTGTTTCTGAAAACAGTACCAGTAGGGTGTTTTGGGTTTTTTTTTTGAGATTATTGCTATGGTATTATTAATCCTCACAGAACAAATGCCCAATGTATTAATGCTAAATTCATATGAATCAAATATGCTGCTCTGCCATTGAACAAACAACTGTCCACTTGGTTGGTATAATCACAGTGCTGTTCAAAATAATTTTCTGACTGCTGTCTGATATAGAAGCTACTGGTCACATGGCTACTGAGCATTTGAAATGTGGCTAATGCAACATTTAAAAAATTTTTATTTTAGTTCATTTTAACTAATTTATATTTAAGTTGCCACACATGAATAGTGTGGTATCTAGGGTTTTCATCATTTCCAACATCAAAAGTAAAGTGTTTAGTGGTCTGTCTTCAAAAATTTAGTGGATGGTACAATTTTCTTCTATCTTCTCTTTTTGATAAAAAAAATTTATAAATGATATTATAAAGAATTTTCTGGTAATAACTCTCATTCTAAAAATTTGTATTTTAATTTTATAAGATGTAGCTCCAGATAATTTGAGGAGGTTGACCAATAATGGATGAAACCTAAAGATACTATTCCTGATCTAGTTTAAACCAAATCACTTTATGTATAAGGACAAAAATATGTCTCATAATGACTTAAAAACTATAAATGTTAATTTTTTATTTTCAGTGAGTTTTAGAAAAGGGACAAAATTAGAAATACAAAAAGATAAATTCTAGTTTTATGGGGTTTTAATGATTGATTTAAATTACTTTAACATCTAAATGGTTTATTTCCAAACAGGATTACATTCTACATTCTAAGTAGCAGATTAACAAAACCATTTTACTTACTTTAAAAATTAGAAATGTACTTACAAATCAAGTAAACAAAGACTTAGAACAGTTACTCTATATACAGATTTCACACATATATTACCTTCAGATTGAAAATCTTTTAGTGATACTGTGAGAGGTTTGTCTTTTCCCTGATGATTCTTTCTTTTATCTTTTTTATTCACAACCTTTGACTGAGTTGAAGCATTTTCATTATTTTCATACTCCTAAAAAGAATTATAGACAACCATTAAGCTTACTTTACAGTAGCAAAACTAACTCACCAACAGGTAATATGTTCATTAACATTTTCTTTCTAAAAATAAAAAGCAAATAACATATAAAAACTAAGGCTAGCCAACTTGTATAAAAAGATACCCGTTTATTTATATAGTCAATCTCTTGCATCTTAACCATTAAAATAAAAACAAGATGCTTACCTTGGTCTATTAACCCCTCCAACTTGCCACCCTCTTCTCCATTTCTGGACCAAACTTAAAACAATAATCTACCATCAATTTGCTTAACACACACACACACACACACATACACACAAACCACAAAACCCCTGAAATCTGGCTTCTGCTATTCTTTGACACTAAAGAGGTCAACTTCCATTTAAATGCCAAATCCAAAGGACATTATTTTTCAAGCATTTCTTGATTTTCTCAATGCATTTATGACTACTCTTCAGTCTCCTTTCACCAGCTTCTCTTTTCCTAACTCTGTTCTTAAAAATGTACCTGCTATTCACTATTATTCCATTCTAACCCATTCTTATGCTTTATACCCACTGTTCTTCAAACTCAAAAGTTTAAAGTTCTACCTATACAATGATAATTTCTGTATGTGCAGACAACTCAACTGGGATGTTCATTAAGCATCTCCAATTCCCTAGAAAGGACTGATCCTTTACTGAGTATCCTGTTTAATGCCACCCTCACATACAAAACTATCTAGGCCAGAAACCTCAGTCATTCTTGCTTATTCTTTCTACACACTTTATATCCAAATTAGTCAGTATATCTGGTTGAGTTTACCTACTAAACCTCTCTTAAATCTATTCTCTTTTCTTCATACCTTGTTATTTCCCCTATCTTCTTTTGCTTGACACTGCAACACTCTAATTTTATTCCCTCAATCCATCTTCTACACTGCTACAGTATGAGTTTCTAAAATGAAAACCCAAATTCAATCTAGAAGTTAAAAATATTCAATAGTTCTCTGTATATGTATAAAACCTAATCTCCTTAGCCTGGTACACAAGGTTCTTTATACCTTATTCTTCTGGCAGTATCTCTAGCAACTCCAGGTCTCTAAATTATAGTTTTTAAAATATGCTATATGCTTATACGCTTGCCACTCCTCCTGAGAATGCCAACTTTCCTCTTACCCACTTGTGAACTTCTAATACATTTAGAAAGATCCTCTTTTAAGAATCCTTTCCTAAAATCCATCCCCATCAAAGGCACAGAAAGTTCTTCCAACTTTCTGAATTCCCTCTGCACTGAGAACATACATCTCTCAATACTATATGCCATAAAAATATGTATGTCTTCCTTCACGAAATCCAAGGAATGGAACCATGTCTTAATCTTTGTATTGGGTACCTAGCACATTTTGTCTATTCAAAAAAATAATTGTTGAATAAGTGATAGAACAGAATAGATAATGCCATCTCAAACCTTAGTTATTATAAAAATCCTTAAGCTAAAATATAGTTTTGTGGGAGGTTTTGTATTTAAAAAAATTTTTTTTTATTGATTTCAGAGAAGAAAGGAGAGGGAGAAAGAAATAGAAACATCAATGATGAGAGAGATGTGCCGACTGGGAATCAAACTGTGACCTCCTGGTTCATAGATGCCGCTCAACCACTGAGCCACACCAGCCAGGCACAGTTTTTAAATTAAAATAACTGACTTAAAACTCAATGACTACACTACATCAATGTAATCACATCAAACTAGCCATCGCAGATTAAAGAAGTTCCTCCATTCCCTGAGGTTCATTATTTTTTGATAAAACCAATGCTTTTGGCTACTACACCTATGTACCAAGAAAACGGGCTGGATGCATGGTAGTTCATAATACCATCTACTCTACTCCTCCTCTAAAGATACAGCTAACCATTTTAGCCTTAGAATCTAGATATATATCTACCAAATTTGATAAATTTCCAGTGTAACCTGAAAGCCCATTAAATGATTTAAGTCACAGTAAAGCTAACTGTATCCATTTTTGTAATTGTCAGGTTTGTGTCTAAATGAACAAGTAACATGCCCTAACCGGTTTGGCTTAGTGGATAGAGCCACGGCCTGCGGACTAAAGAGTCCCAGGTTCAATTTCGGTCAAGGGCATGTACCTTGGTTGCGGGCACATCCCCAGTCGGGGGCGTGCAGGAGGCAGCTGAATCGATGTTTCTCTCTCATCGATGTTTCTAACTCTCTATCCCTCTCCCTTCCTCTCTGTAAAAAATCAATAAAATATATTTTAAAAAAATAAAAAAATAAATGAACAAATAACAACAAAATTACAGTTACTCTTGATTTTTCAGGATAACAGGAATAGAGAGACATGGAAAATGAAACTAATATATATAGTGTACAAAAGCCCACCTCATTGGCTTTCTTCCTCTTCCCTTTAGCTATGAATAGCAAAATCATCACCTGTTATTTTAATTATTCTCTTCCCTTCATCTTGAGTAAAGAAGCTAGTGTACAATGACATAGCCTAAAGGCCCTAAGCATGACCAGAGGCCCATTTATGACTAACTACTGAGTAAATTGAGCATTTATATTATCTTCATATCATTTAACTTTTGTCCTTTACATGTATTGGGAATTTTTTGATCTATAAAATTTATTCAACTTGTGATTAAATACAGAAACTGAAACCAACACTACTTTTTTACGTAAGTGTTCCTAGAGTTGCAAAATGTAGAATACATTTTAGCACACAGCCCAACATCACAGCTTAGTGACAAATTATCAGAAATGTCCTCCCATTTACTTTAGTTAATTATAGTGTATCTCCAGCAGAGGGTCCCATAATGGATGGGACCCTGTACTCATACTTACCTTGTATTTTTAAATTTACTTATTTTCTATGTTCATTTAAAATAAGTTAAATTATTTGCTGTTAATTTAATTTCCTCTCTTCCCTTTATATTTGGAAGGAAGTTTTTAAAATAAACATTCCAAATCATCAGACAAAGCTTAGGCCACGTTTCTGTTGTCTTTCAAAACCTGAGGAAGAATCTTATTATAAAAACTGTGTGTGCCCTTGCCAGTGTGGCTTAGTTGGTTGGAGCATCAACCCATACATCAAAAGGTGGTGGGTTTGATTCCCAGTAAGGGCACATACCCAGGTTGGGGGTTTGATCCCTGGTGAAGGTGCATAAGGGAGGCAATTAATCGATATTTCTCTCTTACACTGATGTCTCTCTCTTTCTCTCTCTCTTCCTCTCTAAAATCAGTATTTTTTAAAAAGACCTTATGTTTTTATTTTTTAATTGAAAAACAAAGTAAACACAGCATGATAATATTCTGTTACCACAAACTTTAAAGAGAATTTTAATACAAAATTTGGGAAGGTTGGTCCTAACTTCTGACCACTTAAACCTAATATAGCTAAATGAATAAACGTGTAAATACCTTTTTGTGTTCTTCATATTCTAATTTACTTAGCAACAATGCCTTCTCAAGATCTGCTTCAAACATTTCAGAAGTCAGCTAGAAAAAAAAAAGTTTCATAATAAATGGATGATAGCTTTATATCACACTAGCAAAAATAACTATTGACAATATATACAGGAAAAGAAAAAAATACATATATATATTTTAATTTTTTTATTGCTTAAAGTATTACAAAGGGTATTACATATGTGTCCTTTTTTTTTCCCCCTGCCCTTGACAATCCCCTGGCCTCCACTACCCCCCAGTGTCTTATGTCCATTGGTTATGCTTATATGCATGCATACAAGTCCTTTGGTTGATCTTTTACCCCCCTCCCTCCTGCCCCCCAACCCTCCCTGGCCTTCCCGCTGCAGTTTGACAATCTGTTTGAGGCAGCTCTGAGGAAAAGAAAAATATATATTAAAAAACAGTCTAGGTTCTCCAAAGTTATCACCCATGCCAAAGTAAGGAACCCTGTATTTTATAGAAAACTAGAGGCCCGGTGCATGAAAATTCATGCACTCGGGGGGGGGGGGTCCCTCAGCCTGGCCTGCACCCTCTCACAATCCAGGACCCCTCAGGTAGGGTCCATAGGCCTGGCCTGAGATCAGGGCTTATCTGGGCTTTCCTTCCCCCAGCTGCAGGCAGCTGGCCCCACCCCCACTGCTGCCACTGCTTGCCATCTGTCCTCTGCAGGGGACAGGCTGGGGTACGATGGCTTGGCTGGCCTGGGCCTCCCTCTGCGGCCCAAAGCAAAACTTCCAATTTTGAGATTTCCATTTGCCCTTTGATCTGGCCAGCCGCACACCTGCCACAGAGTCACTGCCAGTGGCCTGGGCCTCCCTCCTTCTTTGCTGGGGGGGGGGGGGACGGGGCCAGCCCTGCGAGGGGTCCTCTGCCTACCTGATCACCCCTAACTACTCGCATGCTACCTGGTCACCCCTAACCACTCTGCATGCTGCCTGATCACCCTAACTTGCTGGGTGGCAGGGCCAGCCCTGCCAGGGCCCATCTGCTTACCTGATCGCCCTAAACGCTGGCCTGCCTACCTGATCACCCCTAACTACTCGCCTGCCTACCTGGTCACCCCTAACCACTCTGCCTGCCTGCCTGATTGCCCCTAACCGCTTGCTTGGGGGCGGAGCCAGCCCGGGGAGGGGCCATCTACCTACTTGATTGCCCCTTAACTGCTGGCCTGCTTATCTGATCGCCCCTAACCACTTGCCTGCCTACCTGATCAACCCTAACTGCTGGTCTGCCTACCTGATCACCCCTAACCACTCTGCCTGCCTGCCTGATAGCCCCTAACCCAGTGGTTCTCAACCTTCTGGCCCTTTAAATACAGTTCCTCATGTTGTGACCCAACCATGAAATTATTTTCATTGCTACTTCATAACTGTAATGTTGCTATTGTTATGAATCATAATGTAAATATCTGATATGCAAGATGATCTTAGGCGACCCCTGTGAAAGGGTCATTCGACCGCCAAAGGGGTCGCGACTCACAGGTTGAGAACTGCTGCCTTAACCACTTGCTTGGGGGTGGGGCTAACCCTGCCAGGGGTCATGGTGGTTCTGGTCTCTGGTCATTCTGGTTGTTACATGGTGGCTGGCCTTTTATTATATAGGATACCAAAGCAAAACTTCCAATTTTGAGATTTCCATTTGCCCTTTGATTGTCAATAATTCATTGTATATCACATAATCCTTTGCTTTATAAATTTGGTTTTTTTGCTTTTGTTTTTTAATATCCTCACCCCAGGATATTTTTCCATTGATTTTCAGAGAGTGGAAGAGAGAGGGAAAGACAGAAATATCAGTGACAGAAACACAACGATTGGTTGCCTCCTGCACAAGGCCCAGACCAGGGAAAGAGCCTGCAACTGAGGTACGTGCCCTTGACCAGAATCGAACCCGGGACCCTTCAGTCTGTAAGGCTGACACTCTATCCACTGAGAAAACCAGCTAGGGCTACAAGTTTTGCTATATTAGCCATGTTTTTTTTTTCTTCAAGTGATTTAAAACTCATAAAATGAAGTCTTGTATATAAGTAAATTTAGAGGCACACTTGGAACTAACAATAACCATAGTTTGTTACGAATATGAAAATTTAAAATACCTATTGACTCCTCTGACCTATTCCTTCCTAATTTTTGTTTTCATAAACAGGGATTTCATTTTAGACAAATTTCTTCAAATGAGCTATATCTGTTTGTTCTTTCATTCATTCATTCCCTGGTATAAACCAAGACTTTAAGTGCTCCTTTAGTAAGGACTCAAATCTCTGAAGCAACTACATCCCATGAGAGGTTCTGCCCATATACTGGGTGGGGCAAAAGTAGGCTTACAGTTGTACGTATGGAAACTAATACAGTAATTCATAAATAATAATATAGTAAACTGTTCTGCAGTCTCACAACTGTAAACCTACTTTTGCCCCACCCTGTATGTATAAACAGACACTCAAGTCTCCCAGCCTCAGTGATCCATTTTTCATGACGGTGATAGCCCCTTTGAGTAAACTTAGGACTAAAGATAAAATCTGTATGATTATCTGGTATTTCCTGATTGTTGAAACAAGGCATCCTCTAAAATTTCCAGGAGACTATGTTCCATTTCTCCCCAGCACAGGTATTTACAGATTGATTTAAAGCAATTTTATAAGAAAAAGATTTCTTTCATGAACTCCTGCTTCAGCTTTCTAACTTTTTATTTAAGTACTAGAGGCCCAGTGCAGCCCCGCCCCCTATTGGAGTGGGGAGTGTGATCAGGAACTGCCCAGGGGGAGGGGCTGCAGGAGGTTGGGCAGCCAGCCCCACCCCCTATTGGGGTGGGGTGGGCCTATCAGGGGTGGGGCTGGTGGGCGTGAAGGGGTGGAGCATTTGGCCAGCCAGCCCACCGTTGATGTTGATCGGGGTGGGAGAGTCCGGTAGTGGGCAGTTCTTATTAAAGGATACTTTTGAGAACAGTAACTGGGAAGAATGGGAAAAGAGCAGGTTTGAGCAGAGGAATAAGTAAAGCTGCTTGGTGGCCAGGGATCAGCCTCAGTGAACCACAGAGAGAGCTCTTGGGTCAATGGGGAAAAAAGGAGACATATGTACCTGATCGGGCCAGTTCGCTGGCCACAGTGGGCGTCATAGCAACCGGTCATTACAGTCGTTATGGCTTTATGGTCGCTGGCTTTTATATATATAGAAGATGGTTGATATATAATATTAGTTATATTAGTTTCAGGTGTACAGCTATGTTCTCTTTAATAACCACATTTACAATCACTATTTACAGTTAATTCTATATTGAACTAGCTTCAATACTCACCACTGGTGCTTTCCAATTGCTGTGCTCTTTATTTAGATTTGCCTTTTAATTGACAGGAGCACATCTCCAAAAAATTTGCAAAAGGGATAGTGGTGGTATGCTTTCTCAGCCCTTGCTTGAGAAATGTATTTCTGAGAATGTATTTATTCAGCAGTCACACAAATGACATTTTGGCTAGATACTGAATTTTTGGTCCTAACATTTCAATTATGGCATTTAAAGTAGCCAACCTACAGCTGATAGATGTCCCTCCCTCATCAATGTTTCTAACTCTCTCCCTCTCCCTTCCTCTTTGTAAAATCAATATATTTTAAAAAAAAAAAGTAGCCAACCTGACTTTTCATCCTTAGTAGGCAATTTTTTTCTCATGCATATATTTATAGTATTATTTCCTTGTTTTCTCATTCCTAAAGTTAAAAACTTTTACAAAGACTTCAGTTTTTAAAAAAAACTTGAGTTCTTCTTTCAAGTTCAGATTCAAGTCTTAGCTTCATAACATTTTTTATCTATATTATCTTTAATGACTCTCTCTGCTCTACTTCTTTCAGGGCCACTAATTATGCCTTTGCTGGATTTTAGTTCTGTGTTCCAATCTTTTTTTTTTTTAATGTATTTTATTGATTTTTTACAGAGAAGAAGGAAGAGGGAGAGAGAGTTAGAAACATCAATGAGAAACATCAATCAGCTGCCTCCGGCACACCCCCTACTGGGAATGTGCCCACAACCAAGGTACATGCCCTTGACCAGAATCAAACCTGGGAGCCTTCAGTCCGCAGGCCGACGCTCCATCCACTGAGCCAAACCAGTTAGGGCTCTGTGTTCCAATCTTATGTCAATTGTATTGGCAAAATTTATCTCGAATTTTCCTTCACACAATTGACTCAATTGTATACTCTGGTTCTTTAGTCTTCCCAATGAAGTTTCAAATTCTGCTGTGATTTTACTAGTACTTCCCAGATTTTTTGTGGGGAGCGGCTCTAGAGTTAAAGCCTCGGACTGACCTGTGGCAGAGCCACAAACAAGTGCTAGTTTAGAGGGCAGAGCCCTCTTCGCATAATTAAGCTTGACCTTATAGCCGCCCCTAGATCCTTCCTAGGTAGCTAATGGGCTGTGGGAGATGGAGCAAGTGCTGCCAAAACAAGTGAAATTCACAAGAACACTGTAACTATGGTGACCACTACCTTGTTTACCTCTGACTATAAAATAAAGCCTCAGCTTGCTGGCTGGATCCTTCTCTGTGGCCTCATCCAGGCAGAGGAGATCCAATGAGCCCCAGCTATATTCTCTTTGTCTTTTCTTTAATCCTTCGCCCCCTCCCCCCCAACCCCCTTCCCCAGACTCACCGAACCCTTGGCTGTGCTGGCAGGGCACAATTTTTTTACTTTACCCATCTCCCTTTCAATTTCTGTCTCTTAGGCACTTTTTCATCTCAGTCTATTGTTTCACCTTGTTATATAACACTAGAGGCCCGATACATGAAATTTGTGCAAGAGTAGGCCTTCCTTCCCTGGCTGCCAGCACCGGCTTCCCTCTGGCACCCAGGACCTGGGTTTCCCTCGAAGCTCCGGCTTGGTCTGGAAGGACATCCAGTCTAATTAGCATATTATGCTTTTATTATTAGATTAGTATCCCCCACCCCGAGTTTTACAAAATTTTCTAGACCTTTGGTTTTAATTATTTAAGCAAAAAAATGGAGACTGTCTAAAATCAACTTCCATTCCCCGCAGCAAATCTTTCACTTTGGTCACTAAGTACAATGTTCTTTTCCTTTTATGTAGCAGAAATATTTCTTCATTTGACTTAAGATCACTAAGATCTACTGTTTGCTCATAAGTAGGTGGGCTAGATGGCTCTTTACTGTCTATCTGGTTGTTGTTTAATGCCAGTTCTCAAATTTTATGATGAGGCTTAGCTGACATAAATTTACATTACAGCTTTTGTGATTTAGGAGTAGGAAACTTTGTTTTAGCCTAATTTCTCTTTTGTGTTTGAACTAAGCAGCCACATAACAGGCAAAATCCCTGTATCTAACTTTTTGTCTTTCACAGCCCTCAATACCTGGAATTTCTCATAGTTGTTTTCCTACTGTTTCAGAAAGAATGCCACCATAATTGTATATTTTCTGCCTAGTATAGTCACTGCCTGGTCCTTACTTTTAAAATATATTACTCTACACCATAAAATAGATTCCAGGTGGTATGTTATCTATCTGTCCTTATATGAAGTCAGGGCAAAGTCCTGACCATGTCATTTTGGCAGCAGTCAGTAGAGGCAGGAAGAAAGGCAATCAAATAACTGTGCTCAAGTTCCCATATTACAGAGTGTATTTTGGTGAAAATCTGAATAGCTTTCCTTAATTTTCCAGTGCCCATGTGCCACTGGGAGAAATTCTTTCTGGTGAAGACACTGCTAAATTGTATTACTGTCAAAAATAGATCATTATATTTACATTTGTAAACCAGAAGAATGCTGTGGAAGGGAATAAAAAGTATCAAAATCCCTAAAATAATACAAGATGATTTACCCAGTATACCAGTGTGTGGAAATATCTTTTGAACAGCACTTTTGTTAGTTCTAGTGTAATAACTGATGCTCATAATAAGCCTAAGGCACTACAACTTCTAAAGAAAATGTTATAATTAATAGAATTTATGTTAAGAGCATAGTTTCATATAGTCTAATTCTTTTTAGACTAGTAACCCAAGCATGATAGGTACAGCCACTTTATTAAGCCAAATATCTGCTAGTGCAAAACTTATTCCCAATAGAGCAAATGACAGTTTAATAGGTAAACAAGTAACTGTTAATTTCCCACACATACAGCAGCTCCTAGAGCAGCGGTTCTCAACCTGTAGGTCGCGACCCCTTTGGCGGTTGAACGACCCCTTCACAGGGGTCGCCTAAGACCACCATGCATATCAGATATTTACATTATGATTCATAACAGTAGCAACATTACAGTTATGAAGTAGCAACGAAAATAATTTTATGGTTGGGTCACAACATGAGGAACTGTATTTAAAGGGCCAGAAGGTTAAGAACCACTGTCCTAGAGTATATTCAAGCTCAGTATGTTATTTTCTTGGACATCAAGCACAAAAAAAGAAATTAGTCTTAATAAATTATTTGGTTTGGTTATTAGTATTTAAGAAGCATAGAAAAACAAAATATCAGGTTAAAAAAAACAAATGCCATAAACTATTTCACATCAAGGTTGTAAAGTAAAAGTTTCCTGTCAAAGTCCTTTTTTTAGGCAAAACTGTCACTCAGTATTTTTACAAAGGACCTCTGGCCCTACAAACATAATTTTCTTACTTGAAATAATTTAATCCTGTTGTTCTACCTTCCCTCTCTCTCATTTTTAAAAAGGGAGATGAATTAAAAACTTTCAAAACAACTGTTTTGAACTGTTAAAACTAACAATGATAAATGTATCAATCTGTTTTTCTACTACACACAAAAAAAGAACCTGTTATTGAAAGCAGCAAATACATGAACTAAACGAATACAAAAAGCTCCTCAGAACAGCAGTGTTACAGACTCAGATGCGCTGTCATCTTTAAAAATGCATACACTCAGCCCTAGCTCGTTTGGCTCAGTGGATAGAGTGTTGGACTGTGGACTGAAGGGTCCTGGGCTCGATCCCCAGTGGGAGGTGTGCAGGAGGCAGCAGTCAATGGTTCTCTCTCATCATTGATGTTTGTCTCTTTCTCCTTCTCCCTTTCTCTTTGAATCAATAAGAATATATTTTTTAAAAAGTAAGTAAAATAAAATGAAATAAAATCAAATGCATACATTCATTGACTATCAAAGCAAAATAATTTGATTTACTTAGCTGTACCTGCTCATCTCTTTGTCTCCACTCTTGCCAATTTTCTTCTCGTGTATCCTTCTGTACTGGATTTGGTAAAGGAAGCTCATGTTGAGCATTACAAGTGGCATGGGAAGATTTCTGGGGAATTTTCTTAAAAGCAAGATTCCTGAGCTATGAAACAAAGAAGACATTACATTCAATTTGCCAGTCCTGAGATACTAACTGGATTTTTTTTAAGTTAAGAAATCAACAATAATTTTACACTTCAAGCACTATTTGTATTTTTTGTAACCTTTATAGAATATTAAATTCACCTGCATTTGAAATAATGGTTGGTGGATTTCTAGATGAAATGATTAATAAGTAAAAATGGATTGTACTCTATTAAACCATCATTCTAAAGATTCTGCTTTACTAAGGAGAATAAGTTTATAGAAATAGAACATTGGACAAGTGTGCTTTTAAAATACAAAACAATAGGATTCAAAAAGATTAAAGTGTAATAGCTTACAAACTTAAAAATTTAAATAGAAAGAAAAGATAGCGTATGCAATTGTCGCAACTACTTTGCTAATCCTGAAAAATACAGGGCTAGTCCTCAAAGTATCATAATGAATTAAACCTGTATTGGGCAAGCCACTTCCCAACAATAAGAATAATCAGAGATGTAGAAAGTGAAACAAGAAAGAAAAATACTGAGAGGGTGTCATGGATTGAATTGTATTTCTCCCAAAGATATGGTGCTAACCCTCAAGTGTCTGCGAAGGTGACCTTACTTGGAAATAGGGTCTTTGCAGGTGTAATCAAGTTAAGACGAGGCATACTGAATTAGGATAGGCCCTAATCCAATATGACTGGTATCCTTATAAGAAGAGGTGAAGACAAAAATACACAAAGAGAAAGCCAAGCAAGTAACAAGAGGCAAAGATTGGAGTGATGCAGCCACAAGCCAAGGATTGATGGCCACCACAAGGTAAGAGGAGGCAAGGAAGAATTCTACTTTGAGTCTCAGAGAGAACATAGCCCTTGTTGACACCTTGGTTTGGTCTTCCAGCCTTTAGAACAGCGGTTCTCAACCTGTGGGTCGCGACCCCTATGGGAGTCAAACAACCCTTTCACAGGGGTCGCCTAAGACCATCGGAAAACACATATATAATTACATACTGTTTTTGTGATTAATCACTATGCTTTAATTATGTTCAATTTGTAACAATGAAAATACATCCTGCATATCAGATACAGTGGGGCCTTGACTTACGAGTTTAATTTGTTCCGTGACGGAGCTCGTAACTCAAATTACTCGTATGTCAAATCAAAAAGTGAACGAGTGAGACACATGATGCTGGGCTGATGTTGTGGCGCTCACTGTGATGTTCGCTGCGCCAACTAGCGGTGGGGTATCTGAAGCTGGCTCGTAACCCGAATTTTAGCTCGCAACTCAAAGCAAAAAATCGGCTGAGAGACGGCTCGTATCTCGAAAAACTCATTAGTCGGGACACTCATAAGTCAAGGCCCCACTGTATTTACATTATGATTCATAACAATAGCAAAATTACAGTTATGAAGTAGCAACGAAAATAATTTTATGGTTGGGGGTCGCCACAACATGAGGAACTGTATTAAAGGGTCGCGGCATTAGGAAGGTTGAGAAGCACTGCTCTAGAACCATTGGAGAATAAATTTCTGTTGTTTTAAGGCACCTAGTTTGTGGTACTTTGTTATGGACAGCTTTAGGGAAATTAACAAAGAGGCTTTAAATTGAGAATCAATAATTTTAACTAATAATATATGGTTCTGAAAAAGGCAGTGAGGAGATACAAACATCTCTTTAAGTAACTGGTTTCTGCTGTGGAAAAGACATACAGGAGGAGATGCTACTGGAGATGAAGCACTAGCAAGTATACTGTTATTTTTGCCAAAACCGGTTTGGCTCAGTGGATAGAGCGTCGGCCTGCGGACTGAAGGGTCCCGGGTTCGATTCCGGTCAAGGGCATGTACCTGGGTTGCGGGCACATCCCCAGTAGGAGATGTGCAGGAGGCAGCTGGTCGATGTTTCTCTCTCATCGCTGTTTCTAACTCTCTATCCCTCTCCCTTCCTCTCTGTAAAAAATCAATAAAATATATTAAAAAAAAAAAAAGTATACTGTTATTTTAGAGAAAGTGAAGACTAATAGAACTCTAGCCATGGAATTGGAAAGGGAGGATCCTCAGGCTCATCCTCAGTTACATGTTTTCTTATTCTCTAATGTAAATTCCATTATTACCTTACTAGGAGCCCAGCACGCAATTCAAAATGGCACGGCGCTGCCCACTCCCTCTCCGGCCCTTGAAGCAGCCACAGCTGCTGCTGATCAGGCCCTCCCCCAGTGTAGGCACGTGGAGGCCTCTGCTACCCCGCCCCCAACACTGTGCGTGCAACCTCCACCTGTCCGGTTGACCCGTTATGGCATCCCGGTTAATTAGCATATTTCTCTATTATATAGAGAGAGATTTTCTGTTCCCCCCACGTCATCATTAACTCCAAAAATAAAGTGATGGGCAATAAAAAGTTTTGAAAGACTGGACTTCTAAAAGGATATATAGTGGGGAAAATGTCTTTTAAAGTTATTCTCTGTGTGGCAGCATTTTAAAGAGATATTTAGAAAGCAATGATGTTAAAAATTTAATAGAAACAAAGTGAAAAGGCTTGTTTTCTAAGTCTTGGGACATTATAAAATGAATATAAGGGGGGAAAAAACATTTTTACTACTTCTCTCATTAAATGATATTGAAAAAGGTCCTTGCCCTAGCTGGTTTGGCTCACTGGATGGAGTGTCGGCCTGTGGACTGAAGGGTCCCGGGTTCAATTCCGGTCAAGGACATGTGCCTGGGTTGCAGACTTGATCCCCAGTGGGGTGTGTGTAGGACGCAGCCAATCGATGATTCTCTCTCATCATAGATATTTCTATCTCTCTCCCCTCTCCCTTCCTCTTGAAATCAATAAAAATATTTTTTTAAAAAAAGGTCCTTATATACTCCAACTGCTCCTTCTATTAAAAGACAAACACACAGCCACAGAGGAGAAACCAAGATGGCGACATAGGTAAACACCGGAAATTGCTGCCTCGCACAACTACTTCAAAAATACAACTAAAAGACAAAACGGACATCATCCAGAACCACAGGAAGGCTGGCTGAGTGGAAATTATACAACTAGAAGGAAAGAGAAAAGCACACTGAGACTCAGAGGAGCTGCAGAAATAAAGTGCAGAGGTACGGAGGCGCACGCGGAAAGGGCTGGCAGCTGAGGACGCGGCGCATGTGGAAAGGGCTGGCAGCTGAGGACACGGTTGTCTTTTTCAATTGAGAGGGAGTCTCAAGCTCCTGACTGCTCTGAACTCCAGTTCCAGGCGAGTCTCTGGGGACCCAGACTCATACAGGAGAAACTGGACTGTCTGGCATCGGTCGGAACTCGAGGGCGGATTTCTCTCAGAGGTACTTGCAGTGATTACCGGGACACTGAGAAGCGGGGCTTCTTAGGGTAGGACTGAGGAGCAGCCATAGCTGCTTGCTCCGCCCTGTTGATCCCCAGAGACCCTGCCCCACCCAAGCTGTGCGCGGAGGCTTTTGCATATGAAAGGCCTGGCCCTTTGCAATCTGAAAATTACCTAACAAACTGCAACTAGGTCAGAGAGACCCAGAACTTCCAAAAGAAGGCCCAAGGCCCCACAGCCGCTTGCATTGCTTCATAGTTGGGCTCCTGCTGGGTAGCCTCAGGCAGAGGCTAGATTAGCACCTCCTTAGAGATCCAAGAGCCAGTGTACCCAGTGGTCAGAGTGGGACCATCCAGATTACAACTCCTCAGATCCATAAGGGACACACTCAGGGGGCAGACTCAGTGAGCACCAAAGCCCCACTGAAGCAAGTCTTGCCCCAGAAGGGTGTCTTCAGCACAGAAGTTCTCCCACTGCAGACACAGCTGATTCTCACAGCCAATTGGCCTGGAGGTCCATTCCTCCCAGTGATACCTACAACACTCAAGGCTTAACTACAACAAGACTGTGCACAAAGCCCACAAGGGGGTGCACCAAGAGTGTCCACCTCAGGTAATTGGGGAGGCTGAGCCACTGAGCCCTATAGGACACCTAGCACAGAAAGCCACTCTATCAACACAGGGAAGCATAAAAAATGCGGAGACAAAGAAACAGGTCACAAATGACAGAAATGGAGGAAAGCAAACTACTGGATATAGAGTTCAAAACCACACTTTTAAGGTTTTTCAAGAATTTTCTAGAAACTGCCGATAAACTTAGTGAGACCCTCAAGAAATCTAATGAGACCCTCGAGGTTATGAAAAAGGACCAACTAGAAATTAAGCATGCACTGACTAAAATAAAGAATATTACACAGAGTTCCAACAGCAGACTAGAAGATCGCAAGAATCAAGTCAAAGATTTGAAATACAAAGAAGCAAAAACACCCAACCGGAAAAACAAAAAGACAAAAGAATCCAAAAATATGAAGATAGTGTAAGGAGCCTCTGGGACAACTTCAAGCGTACCAACATCCGAATTACAGGGGTGCCAGAAGAAGAGAAGAACAAGATATTGAAAACTTATTTAAAGAAATAATGACAGAAAACTTCCCCTACCTGGTGAAAGAAATAGACTTACAAGTCAGGACGCGCAGAGAACCCCAAACAAAAGGAATCCAAAGAGGACCACACCAAGACACATCATAATTAAAATGCCAAGAGCAAAAGACAAAGAGAGAATCTTAAAAGCAGCAAGAGAAAAAAAGTCAGTTACCTACAAGGGAGTACCCATACGACTGTCAGTTAATTTCTCAACAGAAACTATGCAGGCCAGAAGGGAGTGGCAAGAAATATTCAAAGTGATGAATACCAAGAACCTACAACCAAGATTACTTTACCCAGCAAAGCTATCATTCAGAATTGAAGGTCAGATAAAGAGCTTCACAGATAAGAAAAACCTAAAGGAGTTCATCACCACCAAACCAGTATTATATGAAATGCTGAAAGGTATCCTTTAAGAAGAGGAAGAAGAAAAAGGTAAAGATAAAAATTATGTACAACAAAGGGACAACAAATACATATCTATCAAAAAGTGAATCTAAAAATTAAGTCAATAAAAAAATCTGATGAACAGAATAAACTGGTGAATATAATAGAATCAGGGGCATAGAAAGGGAGTGGACTGACAATTCTCAGGGGGAAGAGGGTGTGAAGGGTGTGGGAAGAGATTGGACAAAAATCGTACACCTATGGATGAGGACAGTGGGGGGGGGGTAAGGGCAGAGGGTGGGGTGGGAACCGGGTGGAGGGGAGCTATGAGGGGAAAAAAGAGGAACAACTGTAATAATATGAACAATAAAGATTTAATTTAAAACAAACAAATAAATAAAAGACAAACATACAATAAACTGATGAATAAAACAGAACCAGAGGCATGGAAACATGGTACAGATTGTAGAAGTGCAGAGGGAAAGAGTGGGGGGTGGGAAGAGATTAGCCAAAGAATTTATATGCATATATGCTTAATCCATGGACACAGACAATCGGGTGGTGAAGGCCTAGGGTGGTGGGGGGGCAAAATGGAGAAAAAAAAGAGAGGACATCTATAGTACTCTCAACAATGAAAATATTTTTTGAAAAAGACAGAGTTGTTTTTCGGCATTTCTTTAAAAAAAACAAATGGGCACAATAAATGCTGGTCATGTAACTCAGGTTAAGAATGTCTAAGGTAAAGGGTTTTCCTTTTACTTATTATCCTAACTAGAGGTCTGGTACATGGAATCGTGCATCAGTGAGGTCCCTCGGCCTGGCCTGTGCCCTCTCGCAATCCAGGACCCCTTGGGGGATGTCAGACTGCCTGCTTCGGCCCAGTCCCTGCAGAACAGGCCAAGGGATCCCACCAGTGCATGAATCCGTGCACTGGGCCTCTAGCATGCATATAAGATCTTTGGTTAATCTCTTCCCATCCTCCCCCCTCTCCACTTCCCCCTGAGATTCCTCAGTCTATTCCAGTGGTTGGCAAACCTCGGCTCGCGAGCCACATGAGGCTCTTTGGCCCCTTGAGTGTGGCTCTTCCATAAAATACCATGTGCGGGCATGCACATACAGTGCGATTGAAACTTCGTGGCCCATGCACATAAGTCGGTTTTCGGAAAGGAGATAGGCGAAACAAGTATACAAGACGAGTGTGGATGGGAGAGTTGGAAGGGGTCGACCTCAGCGAACGTACCTCAATCAGACTGAGGACATTTTTAGCAAAGGCCAGCTTAGGAGTACCCTAATTAAGTTAATAACAATGTACCTACCTATATAGTTTAAGTTTAAAAAATTTGGCTCTCAAAAGAAATTTCAATCGTTGTACTGTTGATATTTGGCTCTGTTGACTAATGAGTTTGCCAACCACTGGTCTATTCCATGTTTCCATGCCTGTGCGTTGAGCATCTGCCCCCTGATGGTCAGTGCACATCATAGCTACCGATTGACCGGTCGCTTAGGCTTTATATTATAGAGGCCCAGTGAATTTTGTGCCCGGGGGGGGGGGGGGGGGTGTCCCTCAGCCCAGCCTGCACCCTCTCCAATCTGGGATCCCTCTCACAATCCAGAACTGCTGGCTCCCAACCGCTTCTGCCTGTAAGCCTGATCACTCCCTAACCACTCCCCTGCCGGCCTGATCGCTCCCAACTGCCCTCCCCTGACGGCCATCTTGTGGCAGCCATTTTGTGACCACACGGGGGTGACCATCTTGTGTGAGGGCATGACAGTCAATTTGCAAAAAGAGATGATCATCAAATGCATAAAAATGTAAGTTCAGGCTAGTCATAGGATTATCTACACCAATTCAAGGGTAATATGCAAATTAACTGTCACTCCGCGCCAAAGGTAGCGGCGCCCATAGCCATAAAGATGGCAGCGCCAGCTGGAGCCACGGAGCCGGCAGAGCAGGCGGGAGGCTTGGCTTGGGCGGCGGCCATGGAGCCGGGCGGAGAGGGCAGGAGGATTGGCTTCCTTCATCACCTTCCTCCCAAGCCAAGCCTCCCTGGGGCAACGAAGGAAGCCAAGCCTCCCGCACGCCTGGGCTGGCCACTGAGGGAGACATGCGGGGAGTGAGTGAGGTTCCCTATCTGGGGGTTCCAAATCCACCATTGGTTCCTTTCACCGCTGACTAGAGATATACAGGGTGTCCCCCCAAAATGTATACACACTTTGAATACCTACTAATTCCAATGGGTTTAAGCATGAAAAGAAAGAAACAACAATGGAGCTGTCATCTGTTAAAAGTGCGGGCACAAACCGGCAGTCGGACATTCCCTGAGGGGTCCCAGATTGGAGAGGGTGCAGTCCGGACTGAGCGCCCCCCCCCCCCCCGAAGAATTTCGTGCACCGGGCCTCTAGTTGTCTATAATAGTAAAAAAAAAAAAAAGGGAACCAATCCAAATGTTTATCTCAAGAATATAATTAAATAAAGTATGATATAGTCATATAATTAAATAATGTGGAGTCATTTAAAATAATGTAGAACTGTATTTACTCATATTGAAAACTGCTCAAGGCTAATTAGGAAAAAAACAGTATAAAAACCTATTATATAATCCCATTTTTATTTAAGTAAAACATGAATATAGATATATGTGTATTTATATACCTGTTGGTTATATCTCTAGCTATATTTACAAATGGCCTTTGTTTCCTTTTAAGACTTTGTTACCTTTTGGAATGAGTACTGAAGCTTCCATATTCATAAAAAAAATAAAGGCATTTAAAAACTTTACATTAAATTGAACTAACAAGCTCTGGGGGATGAGGGAAGGCAGGGAAGTGAAGAGACTGAGCAAAGAAGAAAAAAAAAAAAGAAAGAACTCGAACTCATGAACACAGACAATAGTGGTGATTGCATGGGAGGAGGTGGAAGAGGGTATGGGGGGATAAGTGGTGATAGGAAAAAACTAAATAAATTTTTTTAAATGTTCATTACATTGACTTTATGCATAAATTTACATCCATTCATCAAGTCATATTTTTTTTAAAATATATTTTATTGATTTTTTACAGAGAGGAAGGGAGAGAGATAGAGAGTTAGAAACATCGATGGGAGAGAAACATCGATCAGCCGCCTCCTGCACATCTCCCACTGGGGATGTGCCCGCAACCCAGGTACATGCCCTTGACCGGAATCGAACCTGGGACCCTTCAGTCCGCAGGCCGACGCTCTATCCACTGAGCAAAACCGGTTTCGGCCATCAAGTCATATTTATCAAGTACCTATGAACCAAGTACTATGGACACATGGGTAAACAAGATGGTACCTGTCCTCATGATGCTTGCTTATAGTCTATTAAGAAAACAAACACAGATCATTATAATCGTTACCTCATTTGCTTCAGTCTGTTGCTGTTCCTTCTTTTTTCTTCTTTTCTCTCTCTTTTTCTCATTTGTACCTGGGTTGCGGGCACATCCCTCGTAGGAGATGTGCAGGAGGCAGCTGATCGATGTTTCTCTCTCATCGATGTTTCTAACTCTCTATCTCTCTCCCTTCCTCTCTGTAAAAAATCAATAAAATATATATTTAAAAAAAAAAAAAGAAAACAAACACAGATCATTATAATCGTTACCTCATTTGCTTCAGTCTGTTGCTGTTCCTTCTTTTTTCTTCTTTTCTCTCTCTTTTTCTCATTTGCAGTTGATTTGCTTGTTTGAGACTTTCCCGGAGTCCTACCTTTGCCTTTTCCAGGCTCAGAATCAGAGCCACTACCACTATCCACTTGCAACAGGGCAAAACGAGAAGCAGTAGTGGGAACAGAACTAAGAACTGCTGAGGCCATTGTAAATATTTTTCTTTAAAAATACTTCTGTCAAGAATAATTCCTGTGGAGGGAGAAAAGAAGACAGGTGAGTAAAATTTATTAAAGATTCTACAGTAATAACAAATTATTTTTATATATATATTTCTCCAGACACGGGACTTAGTAATATTTGGATTCATACCAACAGTCTTATGAGCAATAGCATACTTTTTAACTTAAAAACAACATAAAATTGTATAATAGAAAATGGAATAATGATATGAGATTTCAGACTAATGCAAGACTACCATCAATATAATGTATTCATTTTTCCATATATAGTTTTCAAAAATTCATGGTTTTCTTTTCTTTTAAATACACTGCTAAAATATATACATAGCCTGGCTGGTGTGGCTCAGTGTCACCTATGAACCAGGTGGTCAGGGTTTGATTTCCAGTCAGGGCACATGCCCAGGTTTTAGGCTTTATCCCTAGCAGGCGTTGTGCAGGAGGCAGCCAATTGATGATTACCTCTCATTGTTAATGTTTCTATCTCACACCCTCCCTCTCCCTCTAAAATCAATAAAAAACGTATTTAAAAATAATAATTATATAAATACATATTTATGGAAAACATCCTACATCAATACAGTTTAAAACAGAAAAGTATGTTTATCCCCAACTTCCAAAAAAAAATAAAGTAGAAAAAGAACAATCTTATATACAAAATGCTGCCTTAAGTTTGATCCTAGCGACTAGTCCTAAGTCAAAAACTGAGAGCAAAATAGAGAACTTAAATTCCTGCAAAGAAAACTTTTCAAAATCACCCTCCACATTATCTTTTAGTTCATAAATAGCCTCAGTGCATCCTACCAGCCTCGCAGCCCCAGCTTGCACCTCCAGCCTGGCAGCCCCACCTGGCACCCCCACCTTGGCCTGGCGCCGCCCCCTCACGTGCTCCACCATCCTGCCGAAGTCCCACTCTTGTCGGGGCCCATCAGGCTGGCAGCACCTCCACTGCCACCTGCTGCCAGAAACCACGTCGCCTACACCCCCCCATGTTCCGCGCTGCCCCCTGGTGGTCAGCACACGTCATAGCGAGCAGTCAAACTCCCAGTATCCCAGTGGAAGGACTGTTCAAGGGGACAATTTGCGTATTAGGCTTTTATTATATAGGATATATAGGATTCTCCTGCTGAATGCAGGCATGACCATGTGACTGACTTTGGCCAGTGAAACATAAGCTTTAAAAAGCTTTAAAATCATTTTTCTTCAGAACATGGTTCACCATGTTAGCTTTTCTCTGCTTCTATGATTGTGGAAGCACATGTTGAGACAGAGTATTCATCAGTCAGATCTGATGGAGTCTGAAACCACAATGAACAGAGTCTTCTTACTAATCTGTGATGGATACAGGGTAGAGCAAAAGTAGGTTTACAATTGTATGTGAAACACAGTTTATTCTTATATTATTATTAACTAGAGGCCTGTTGCACAAAGAGATTCGTGCAATAGGCCTTCCCTTCCCTTGGCTGCTGGCACCAGTTTTCCTCTGGCACCCGGGACCCAGGCCTTCGCTCTGGCTGGGCTCCGGTCAGAGCCCCCACCCAGCCGTCAGGCTTCGCTGCTCCGCTGATCCCGGGGCCGTGAGGCCTCGCTGCTCGGCAGGCTTTGGGTACATTTGGCTTCACTCCACCACTTGGAGCCTACGTATGCAAATTAACCGCCATCTTTTTTGGCGGTTAATTTGCATATCGCCCTGATTAGCCAATGGGAAGCGTAGCAAAGGTATGGTCAATTACCCTTTTGTCTTTTATTAGATAGGATTATTGTACTATTTTCCATAAAAACTGTAAACGTACTTTTGCCCCACCCTGTATTTAGCTTGAGCAAGAAAGGAACTTTACTTCTTTAAATATCTGAGATTTTCAAGTTCTTCTTGCAGTGTAACATAGCCTTACCATAACTGGTTATCTTGCACAAATAAATTTCTTTCCTAATTTAAGACTCGTATCAAAACTGTAATTTCATATTTGGATTGTTCTGCATTAGTTAAATGTTAACAGATGTCTGTTCAAAAAACCTCTCCTAAGCCCATAGAAATTTTCTTTCTGTAGCAGAGGGCAGAGCTTCCTTACCAGTATATCCTCAGATAAAGTTTCCCTTTGTCACTGGGGCAGCCAAGAAAACCCTGGAGAGTGAAGAGACTCTGGGCCAGTCACCACCAGATGTAAGTAACCCTATTTGATGCTCCAGAGGACAACTCATGCATATGTTACTCTGTAGGTATTTCTCAACTGTGACAAGGGAAGTGCGCAAGCCCCTTGAAATCTATTTCATCAGACAGCTGCAGAATGCACTGCTGCCCATTATGGTAGAGACAGTTTTTGGAACTGTTAGAAGAGTTCGTATTCTTTAGGTGCCCCAAACACAAGGTATGCAGTATAGGAAGCAGCAACTGCTGTCAGGGGTAGGGAAGCACAAAACTCTTAGTGAGCAAGGTTCCAAACAATGGCCTGAAATCTCTACTTTCGCAAATAGAAGATCTTTCCCTCCACTTGCCAGTGACATGCCTTTTTAATGGCATAAAAACTAGCTGCAAAGTGACTGCTCAAACAGGGTATATGCTTTCTGCAAACTAGAACTTCATCATTATTTTAAACACAAGTCCAATTGGATTTGAACTCCTTTCATAATATCACAAGAAATTTTATATTATTAAATTTTGATAAGAAAAGATTTTAGGTTCTTTAAAAATAATTTCAACTGTTATAAACTACTGAATGGTTATAAAACAAAAATGATTTGTTTTTATTACCTACTCATCCAAACAAAATTTCAATGGAAACTCAAGCTGAAGAAAACATCAATTAAAAGTCTGGATCAGGGCCCCAGCCAGGTGGCTCAGTTGGTTGGAGCATCATTCTGTACACCAAAAAGGTTGCAGTTTGCCTGACCAGTGTGGCTCAGTGGTTGAGCACTGACCTATGAAATAGGAGTTCCCGATTCGATTCTTCTGGTTCCAGGCTTCGTCCCCAGTGGAGGAGGGGGAGTGCAGGAGGCAGCCAATCAATGATTCTCTCTCATCATTGATGTTTTCTATCTCCCTCCCTCTCCCTTCCTCTCTGAAATCAATACACACACACACACTCATATATATTTTTTAAAAAGGTTTCAGGTTTGATTCTCAGTCAGGGCACATATCTAGGTTGTGGGTTTAATCCCTGGTAGGGGCCCTTACGAGAGGTTTCTCTCTCTCTCTCTCTCTTTCCCTTCCTCTCTTTAAAATCAAGAAACATATCCTCAGGTGAGGATTTTTTAAAAAGTCTAGATCAGGAATTGCATATTCTTATTTCATGGATAAATTTTACTTAAAAACTTATGTTCACGGAAGCAAGTACAATTTTCTCATTGAAAACTCTGATATGATTCTGAAGTTTTTAATAAATTCAACATTTAGTATTTTCCTAATATACTTTGTTTTACCTATCCTAATCATATACTGTAAAAAAAAATGCAACACATTTATTCTCCACCCAGTTCTACGTAGACATTGTAGATCTCCCAGTTTGGGGACAATGGTATACCTATGGTCCTTTACATTAGTAATGCAGAAGTCAAACAGCAGAAAAGCACTAGACAAGAATGCTGACCTGAAGCAAGAATACCTGAGCAAACACAACCTGCTGCTTACTGTGAGCCCCTGAACCACTTACTTGATCAGTGTTTTCTCATCTGTGAAACAAACAAGAATGCCCAGCCCACTGAGTTAAGATTAAATATGTTAATGGACTTTACATACAAAAACAGAACAGTAGTCAGTACAGAACCACTCAAATATAAACATCTACTGGTATTCTTACTATAATTAATTGAAATATGTCTTGAGGTCCTACGAGGCAAAGGGAAATTGGCACAAACTATTTAAAAATTTGGCTAAGCATGTCTGACTCCACTGCAAAAATGTTTCGAAATTTAAATCAACACCATTCTAAAAGCTAACTAAGGCTTTAATCTTTGAAATGAAAGGAAAAAGTTGTTAGGCATTGAGAAGTAATTGTTGAGCAGTGAGCCACTGAAAAGAGTCAAAGACCTAATGATTATACCTAATATACTGCGGAAGGAAAACATCAGTCTACTCAAAACCCAAGAATCACAGTAGGGTCCATGTCTTAAACAGTAGGCATACAGTAGACAAACAATAAATGTTAAAATGAATGAAAAATAATAATAAAAGACAGAAAGACAAAGTGAAAAGAAAACATTAGAATACTGTTAAACTGAGAAAAGAATGATATTCAAAAGACAAAATAATTATTTTCCTGAGGAAGCAGCTACCTATGCTATACTACCTCAGCAATCCACGTATTAAAATAAAAGAGATTAACCAAAGAACTTATATGCATATATGCATAACCCATGGACACAAACAATAGTGTGGTGAAGGTGGGGGGGGGGTGTCAACGAGAGAAAAAAAGAAAACTATAATATTTTCAACAATAGAGATACATTTTTTAAAATAAAAAATAATAATTGATAAAATACTCTTAGTTTATGAAAGGGTAAAATGAAAAGGGGGAAATGCTCACCTATAATGATCCCTTGTTTGGTCAGCAGTAGGAGTGCAAAAAAGATAGTGGCAGCCACTTGCACTATACTTTAGATAACAGTAAATATTAAAGAACAGCTCTACGTAGCAGCTGAGAGAATAGGAGATGGGTCAACTGGAAGGACTCAATCATCTGTGCTACAAGCTGCACATGATATATCGCCAACACATTGTCTACCTCAATAGCCATTAGAGAAATCTACATACCAGGTCAAAAGGTACACTAACCAGTACCTCAGAAGTGAAAGAGGGAGAAATTTAAATTTTAAATTAAAAAGGGAATGAAAACATAAAAATAATCCCTAATCTGTAAATGTGCATTATGTATTTACATACCAAAAACGAAGAAAATGCATGGGACTACTCATGCTTGTTTTTCTTTCGACAGTTTTCACTATTTCCCCAAGTATTCTATAATGACCATATTTCTTCTATAAGAAAAATATCTCACACAGACAGTAGGGAAGTGAGGG